AGGCAGTTGAATTGGGGCTATTTTTGGCGACTCTGTCATTCCCAGTCGGGCTAGTCGGGCCGAGAAGAGTAAGTGTAAGCTGTCTCTTCCTGGCCTCGTGACCGTTGAAAGTGATTCAATGATCCTTTTTTAGTGCAGGCGTCAACTCAGTTCTACTGGTGGTAGTTGGAGTGAGTAGTCTACTAGTGAGGGAGGATGTATCTAGTAAGTACCGTTTGTTACTAGTCCCATACTCTATACGGAACTAAGCCGGAATTGACTTCTGGGCGCAACTCTCTTCCCGAGCCATTTCTCCTCTTCTGCCCCCAAGAATAACCCTCCCACTTCTTCGCCAATCCCACTTGGCAAGCCTTTTTTTTTTCTCCCTTCTTTCATCGGTCTCTCGCTTCGTTTGAGTGACCTTTGGACCTTCGTTTGTCCCCCCGATATCCCCCATTCACCCCTCTGTTCTCTGCGTCATGGAATCCAGCAGCTGCATCCCATCAGGACCCATCGTTTAGCGTTTTCTGCAAGGTAGGCCTATTTTCCCGGTGGACCCCCGAATTTCCCTGAGCTGACCCATCATCCTTCTCCAGCTTTCTCCACATTCCAGCAGCAGCAATCCCCTTGTCCCGCGATCCCTGATCTCCCCTCGTTGCCTTGTCTCTTTCCATTCGTTTGCAGCCCTCGAGATTCGTCACCTCGCTCCAGCGCACATGGCAGGTTTCATATCCCATGCATAGTCCACAGCTTATCGCATAACTTCCGGGGCCATTTCATATCACCTTGACGGTCGTCCCCACTATCAGGGATTGTTCTGCGACCACGCTCGGAACTTACATTTGTGGCATTTCGCCCTCACCGATCGGATCTCAAATAAAAGAATCATAAACGATGGCGCGCTCTGCCAGCGGCGGCTATCCCCAGCCGCTTTCTTCCCCTCCGCCCGTTTACCTTCGTTCTTCTCCTCCCATCCCCCCGGTGCATCGTGAACCTAGGCGGGACAGCTTCAATCGCTTATACAGCAAGCCTATTCCCAGGAAGTCACTGACGGATCCGGTGTCCGTGCCGGAAGATCGCCCCGAAAGCCAACGCTATTCGGTTCCACGGGTCAGAATCCATGGGGAAAGCGATCCGTCAGAGCCGGATTATCATGAGGACGGTATTGAACTGACGCTTCCTACTGATGAACTCGCCCACATATCTCTCTCCGAGCAGCAGCAGACTCATGGCAAGCCCATAGATGGATCATCTTCACCCCAGGTGGATGACTTCAACGCCCCCCAGGTACCAGAGCATCGGACATACGGGCACACACCCCATAGCAGTGCGTCTTGGTCGGTAGTCGACCCTCACATCAAAGACAACAGTCTGCCCAACACGAGCACATCTTCGTTGGACCAACAACCCGCGAAAGACAGTCAGACTAGCTCTTCCCGGGATAGTCTCGACAGTACGACGCAAGCCTCGGAATGCTACGAACCTTTGCACTACCATCATCGACCGTACGAAGCTCCCCAGCCCGCAAACCAGCAATCACCGGCAGATGGCTCATCTGAGAATTTACAGAAGCCACGCCCAGCCGTCAATGGGCGTTCTCTTTCAACACACTCGCTCGGCTCCGACCTGGGTGAAAGACGGAGATCTTCTCGGCTCTCGCCGTACCTCCACGCCCGTGGATCATCCCGGGACTCCAGTGCATCACCCGATGTCCGACCAGTATCTTTCGTTGAACAGCTCAACAGCTGCTATCCGCAACCCGGACCTGCCCCGGTACAGATTGGCAACTCCCATCTGCAATCCGCTGTCGGCAACAACGCATCCTTGTTGAGCCACAAACAAACGTTCGACATGTATCTGGCAAATGTCAAGAAGACCGACGACCCCGCCATTCAATATGAATTTGCCATCTTTATGGTGAACGCAATGTTGGAAATGCCACCCGATGAGGCTGACGGTGCATCTGCAGTGTATGGCCAGAAGGGAAGCGACATCAACCGCGCTAGCCTTCTGCGCGAGTCCAAGTCCATCCTCCAGCGCCTAGCTGATCGCAGTTATCCCTTTGCTCAATACTATCTGGCCGACGGATACGCTTCAGGGTTGTTCAGCAAAGGGAAAGAAGACTATGATCGGGCGTTTCCACTGTTCCTGGCAGCCAGTAAACACGGACATGTCGAAGCATGTTACCGGACTGCTTTGTGCTATGAGTTCGGCTGGGGTACCCGAGTTGATGCCGCTCGGGCACAGCAGTTCTACCGACAGGCAGCATCCAAAAACCACCCGGGCGCTATGCTACGTATGGCGAAGGCTTGTTTGGAAGGGGATATGGGGCTAGGAAAACGCTATCGTGAAGGTATCAAGTGGATGAAACGCGCTACCGATTCATCCGACGTTCAGTATAACTCCGCTCCTTATGAGTTGGGATTAATGCACGAAACGGGATATGGCGACGACGTATTTCCAGACCCTGCTTATGCTGCCCAGCTGTTCACCAAGGCAGCGGACCTAGGCCACATCGAGGCCAGCTATCGCTTGGGCGATGCCTATGAGCATGGCAAACTCGAATGCCCCAGAGATCCTGCTTTATCGATCCATTTCTATACCAACGCTGCGCAGGGTGGCCATCCCCTGGCCATGATGGCACTGTGTGCCTGGTACCTCATTGGGGCAGAGCCGGTGCTGGAAAAGGATGAGTATGAAGCCTACGAATGGGCTAAGCGTGCTGCGGAGACTGGTAAGACACCTACACAGTAATTCAAGCAATGAGATGCTGACCTTGTCATGCAGGACTCACCAAGGCACAATATGCGGTTGGATACTTCACGGAAACGGGCATTGGCTGCCGGCCAGACCACCTAGCAGCCAATGTCTGGTACGTGCAAGCAGCGGAGCAAGGAGATCTCCGAGCTAAACGCCGAATTGCCGCCATTCGAGCGGCTGTCGACGGGGTCAATCCAGAGAAGGCTAGCGCAGCAGCTGCGGGCACTGGCCGTGGGCAGAAGGACAAGAAAGGTGCGTATTCTCTCCAACACCATCACAGCCTGTCTAACATATGATATAGAAGGGAAATCGAAACGATTTGGTATATTCTAAGCATGACATATCTTCAATAACCCCGAGGGGGTTCGGCATCTGGCAGCACATTTACCAATCATTTACATTCATGGTCACCATATAATACATTTCAGCGACAACGAGCAGCACGAAGAAATTTTGAGCACATTTTGGCATTTTATCTGGATTATACTGAGCGATTTATTGATTCACGCGAACCTTGTTTCCCAGCATTACTGGGGTTGGACCTGTACAATTTCTGTATCATTCATAATGATTTGCGGAACATATAATCAACTTTAGGATCATCATCATCTCATTTTTCACTATAATGGACCTAAGGTCTTTCATACCATATTAACTGTCACTCCCCTATTCATCAACGTAGCGCCGTACAATAATATAAAGTATTGTAAGAGCAGTATTGAGCGATAGAGCCATATCCCCTCCCTTAGGCCATTGCATATAACTCCACAGACATCTCAAACTGGCGGTGAATAGTACAATATAAAGTAGGCTGACTTGAGTCAGTTCTGCGTCCCTTGGATTGTAATGACGGATCTTTCTGTTCACTTACGTCCAAGGATCTCGTGCAATCTTTTGCAGGCTAGTAGGCCTTTGCGAAGAGGACGAGGAGGGTGGAGTTGAGGTAGTGGGTTTCTTGTCAGCGTTCATCTTCTTGATTTTGTGGATATAAGATGAAATAGGTATGCTTATTATAAGGAAAGAATTGGTCTGCCTGCTGGGAATCCAGTGGTAGTTAAATTTAATAAAGACTGATGGTACCGTGGTAGCGGACCGGCCCTTTATGCTCTTTTAGCCCGATCGGGTATTGCTGCGGGTCTTGGCAGTCAGATGATCTCGAATTGTGCCCCTTTCAGCCTTATGGGGGAGTATCTTATTTCATTCGTGGCCTGGCTGTCGGGCTCTATGTATTTGAAGCACCAATGAGGGATCGCAGTTATAGGTGATGATAGCATGGCGATTTTGTTGATCATGTTGCAAACTGTTTGACTTGATCCTGCTTATTCGGGGTCTTGGCAGTCTAGTAGGGTGAATCAGGGGCATTCAACTTTTGTGGAGACAGAATGTGAAAAAATCTTTCTATGGCTTTATTCCCAAGAATAGAGGACTCGGAAATGGTTATGAGGCTGATGAGGTTTGTAGTAGGATCACATTACCTTAGCTGTAAAAAGGTATAGTATGTGATGAGGGTCATGCTATTCATCTTGCCTGCATGCTTCGGTCAGTGCTTGCACCAGTGGGAATTCAAGCCGTTCAGTTCACGGGCTTTGTAGTTACTTTTAGTGAAACTGAGACAAGCACGGTGTAAGCATCTTCTTTCATGTTACTATTGGGATTGAAAAACTGTAGGAGGTCACTTTATGGCCATGTCACACCCTGAATATATATTCGGAGTTATAGTGCGGGTTCACCAGAATAAACGGCAGTCTGGTGATCAATGATAAAAAATTCCTACTATATCTGATAATCTCTAGCTTCGAAAGCAGCAAGCCTACGCTATTACCACATCTAATACCGGAGGTTTAGCCAGAGGAATTTCGAGGCCACATGGCAGTCCCTTGATAGGGGGAGCACTGACCAATCAGAGACCACCAGATAAAGATCGTTATCTGGGGAAGACGGACGATATCAGATAAGAGTCAATAGCCGATCTGCCCGTCATTGATAAGACTAGCTTCCCCCAGTATTCTTTTCTCTTTCCCCTCTTTCCTGGTCCAGAAATCGGAGTATATGTGAGCAGCATCTTCCTCTCATAGCCGAATGCCATCCAACTGTCACACTGTCCAAACGTGCCAAGGGCAGTCAGCCACCTGTCATCTGCGAACCGAAGGATCGACTAGACAAATTGCGGGGGTGGGGTAAGACTATGCGCCCCGGATTTTCTCATTTGCTCCGTCGTGCCGTTCCCCTCTTTGCTTCTTCCTCCTCTCCAGCTTCTCCTCATGGCGGCTGTCATCCACACCAACGCAGCCATGACTTCCTACCAGCCATTCCAATGTCTGGTTTGTATGCGCCGGTTCACTCGACATGAGAATCTCAAACGACATGCAGCTCTTCATTCCCGTTCCAGAAAGGAGGTTTCATTGCCATGTGACTTGTGCCAGGCAACCTTTTCGCGTCCGGATTTGCGCCATCGGCATATGAAGCGGAAGCATGCCGAGCACGAGCAGCGACGAACGACGAAGAGGCCAAAACAAAGGGACGAGTGTTCCTTTCGGCCTCAGAACTCTGGCCAGCACCGTGGGCAGCTACAGGATGTTGATGGGCTGGAGCTGGATACGCCTGCATGGACGTCTGAGCCATCGCAAGTGCAGTATGCAGATGATGCAGGAGGAACTAGCACTGCGTCCAGCGGATCACCCATAGAGAACAGCGATCGTATCCAGCCTGCTCCAGTTAACCGGACGCAACATATATCAATGGACGAGTCTGTTTTGCTAGACGCGTTAGAACTGGAACGTAGCCTGTTACGCGAAACATCATTTACCCAAGCAACAGACCAGTTCGACAACCAGCCGCAAGCGATTTCCACTTCACAGCCTCCTCCGGACATTGACCTGAGCGATCTCAGCTTTTCAAAAGACTTCTCTATCATCCCTATCGCGCCCGAGAGTACCCTGCCTCAAAGCAAGTGGTTTCCATCTGCCTCACAAATCCGCGAAGGCTGCAACCTCTTCTTCACGCATGTGTCACATTTCCTCCCCTTCCTCCACCACCCAACCTTCGATCCGAGCGCCATACCCTCCCATCTCCTCCTCGCCATGCTCTCCCTGGCATATCAATACGGCGAAGACCCGGAATGCGATGCCCGCTCCAACACAGGAACCAGCCTATCCACCCGCTGCTACCTCCTCGCGCGCTCCCTCCTCTCCTCCACCGACGACCCTCACACAACCAGCACCACTGACCATCTCCCCCTAATCCAAACCTACCTCCTCCTTCAGATCTGCGCCATGATGTACCTCTGCGGCTCCGACTCAACACAAGGCCTCCAAATGCATGCGACAATGATATCCCTCGCGCGCTCCACCGGCCTAATGCACCCGATACCTACCGAATCCGCCCACACCTCGGACCTCGACTCCCTCTGGAAAGAATTCATCAAAGCTGAATCCCACAAACGAACCCTCTTCGCCGTACATCAAATCGACGCCCTGTGGTACCAACTCCTCTCTATCCCCCGCGCCATCTCCCACCTCGAAGTCAAACACGACCTTCCCTGTCCAGAAAACCACTGGACCGCTCCCTCCGCTGCACAATGGGCCCACCTCCAACTCGTCTCCCAACAACAGCATCATGCTACTTCGATGCGCTACGACGACGCGGTCCGCCACTTCCTCTCCTCCCCATCACCCACAGACATAACCTCTACATCTACATCTTCATCTCCATCCACCATCCCCCCGTTCGACCCCTACGGCGCCATCAACATCACCCACTTCCTCATTTCCAGCGCGCGCGAAATCTCCGGCTGGTCCACCATGACCGGCATGCTAAGCATGGAGCGGTTCTCAGCTCTTCGCTCATCGCTCCTATCTCTAGGTGTATTACTCTCCCCATCATCCACCTCACCCTCCCCATCAACTATATCCCCCAAATCCACCACCCACGCCACCGCAACCTGGCAAACCGCCATGATCGAGCTACAGATGTGGTCACCTAGCCACACAGGCGGCATCGTCAAAGCCAGTATCGATACGATGCTCCAGCAAGCGACGGAGTTGGCGCCCTCGGCGTGTGAGTTCCTCTGTGAAGCGGAGACGGCCAAGGCGTTCCAGTCCCATGTGGATTGGTTTCTGGTATATTTAGAGGAGGAGGGGAATGTGCAGGGCGAGGCGCCGTGGGTGACGTTGTATGCCTATAAAGCGTTTTTGGTCGCGTGGCAGTTGGTGAGAGGGGGTGTGCCTGGGGCAATGGGAGTGGTGGGGGTTGGGGATGGGGATGTGGAAGGGGCGGTGCGTTGGGCGAGGAGGGTGTTTGGTTGGAGGGAGAGGTGGGTTATTGGGAGGTTGGTGATGGGGTGTTTGGGTGGGTTGGATTAGTGTTTTTCTATAGCTAGATATGAGAACGTGTATGTATGAATGTAACTACCAGTGACTACTTGTTTGTCTGATTAACACAAGAGTATACCTTCCTATCTATCAATACATCTCGTATCGCCACCGCAGCTGCACCATCTCCTCTGTAACTCCTCCCTTGACGACCTTGCCGATCAGATCTGGGTCGCCTGAATCTAGGTATCTGTTCTCGCGACGGACCAGCCACCGATACACCGTGACCGTAGCAGCCAGGAGGAAGCCCGAACCCATGAGCGTTCCAAAGGCAGCATAGAAATGCGGACCATCGTAATATAAATACGACGCCCATATGTTCGACGTACAGCCGATAGAATTCACCAGTGCGGAGGCGGCAGCGCGTTTAGACACCGGACGGGCCATATGCAGGTTGATAGTTTTGTAGAGGAGAAGCTGCGGACCGACAGACGCAAACGGGAGGATCATCATTGCAAAGTACCGAGCGCCGATGTTGAGGGTGGACATGAGGATGATGTACATGACGACGGAGATGGAAATGCAGGCCATGATGAGTGGGTAGATGGTGTTGTAGCGATCGGAGTAGAACATGAGGCCGTAGTAGACTATGCCCGCAAGGACGTAGGGCGGTGCGGTGAGGAGGAGGCTGATGGTATTAGAGGAGAATCCGAGGGAGCCGACTAAGGTGGGAAAGTAGTTTGCGATGGAGCCTTGGCATTGGGAGAGCATGTTGCAGAAGATCATCAGGACGAGTTTGGGGTCGGAGAGGGCTTTCAGGAATCCGCGAAGGATGGGTTCGTTTTCGGAGCCTTCCGCGGCTCCGGCTTCGGATTCGATGCGCCATATGGCTAGGTCTCGCTCGATTGGGGAGAGGATGCGACTGTTGTGTGGAAACCCGGGCATGATTAAAGCGCAGATTATGCCGATGCCGACGGTGGCGCTGCCCTCGATGATGAAGAGCCATTGCCAGCCGGCGATGTTGTGGACACCGTCTAGTTGGAGGATGGCTGCGGCGAAGAGCCCTCCGAAGGCGTTGCCGACTTGTTGGGCGATGTAGAGACCGGCGATGCGCTTGCCAAGCTCCGCTTTGGTGTACCAGGCTGAGAGGTAGTAGATTGCTCCGGGGAAGAAGACGGCTTCGGCGATACCGAGGATGGCGCGCACGGCGAGTAGTTGGCCGTAGCTATGAACAGCTGCGGTTGCAGCTGAGATGCAGCCCCAGATGGTGACCGCAAGGCAGATGTACATGCCCGGTCGGGCGATTCTGGTGATGAGGAGGTTGCTGGGGATTTGGAAGGGCAGATATCCAACGAAGAGAATTGAGACAGCCGTGGCAAATTGGTCGGTTGACATGTGGAGATCTTCCATGATGCCCTGCAGCTTGGCCGAAGCAAGGTTCTGACGATCGATGTAATTCAGGATATACAAGAGGCCAACCGTAGGCAGAACCATGAGGTCCACCTTGCGGACGATTCTCCGATTGAGGCGGCGGCGCTCATCTTCGCTAAGACTGCGTAGGGACTCTGGCATGCGCTCATACGCATCACTGACAACATCATTGACCTGCCCTTCTGCAGAGGAAATATTGCCCTCCGACTTGATGGACGAGGGGCGTTTCTTGAGATCCATTGTTTTATCCATGACAGCAGGAGTGGAGGCTTAGAAAGGACCTGGGAGCTGTTGCCCCAGGGGAGACTGGCCAAGATATTAAGGAGCGTCAAAGGTGTATATCATGTTATTCTGATTGGACAGGCCGGTGCTATCCATGACATCTGGGTAATGCCGACCGGCTATTGATGTGGAGTGTGTTACGAACCGTGGTGAGTCACTGATTCGCTGGCAATCAAGCGCCGGGTAGATAAGGAGGGAGGAGCGCACTAACCTTATCTTTTATCCTCCACATGAACACAGTTCAGTCCATGTGTGACAAGCCTTTGCTGGAGGAGTGGAGGAGGAAGAGGAGTTGAGATGGATCGGCGGAGCTCCTCCCGGAGCGCTAAACACTCCTCCCGTTCAACTCCCCGCATGAACGAATTCTCTTGAACACGACCGACATCCTTGTAGCAGACCAACTACTTAACTGACAATGTCGGCGAGTCCAGTAAGAGTCATCATTGCCTATCACAGAATTCTCCTGATACCACCGACACGATGACTTACACGAAGACCTACCCCACTCCTCTTACAACCGAGATCTCCAACCCTCGGCTGCGGCTTCTGAACAAGATCAAAGCCGGAGAATACCCGTTGATGACTTTCATGGCCCTCCCTTCCGTGCGCATGGCTCAGATTGTCGCCCTGACCGGGGTTGACGGTATCATCATTGATTGCGAGCATGGTCATATCTCCGACGACGCCATGCACAACTCTGTCGCAGCCATATCCTCCCTGGGTGTATCCCCAATAATCCGCATTCGCGGTCCCACTCATGACATTGTCAAACGTGCGCTCGATACGGGTGCCCACGGCATCATGGTTCCCCAAATAAACACCGTCGAAGAGGCACAACAAGTGGTGGCATCTGCCAAATTCCCGCCACAGGGACTGCGGGGGCAAGGGTCCGCCTTCCCTGCCATTGGCCATGGTCTGACTACCCCCGAGTATATGAAGTCTGCCAATGAGACCATCATTACCATGATTCAAATTGAGACCCGTGCTGGTGTGGAGAATGTCGACGCAATCTGCGCCGTTCCGGGTGTGGATCTTGTCTTCATCGGTCCCAATGACTTGGCACAGTCTCTCCTCGGATACGTGCCTGCACGGGGAGATGAGCCGGAGTTTGTTGCTGCAGTTGAGAAGATTGTTGCGGCGGCGAGGAAGCACGGCAAGTGGGCAGGGAGAATGGTTAACAATGGAAGTTTGGCAAAGGAGGCTAGAAAGACATATGACACGGTCGCTATCACAGGCGACACCAAAGCGATTCAGAATTGGTATATGGCAGAGTTTGAGGTAGCAAGGTCATGAACAGAGTGGATTATATAGAATAGAAAACATTATCATTTAGCTGAACTAGAAGAATGAGAGCATTGCCTCGTATCGAAGACTTTTCTGCTGTAGCATGGCTAATGACATGTATAGCTTATATCCATGACCGAATAGAGATAGAATTGACGAAATTCAGTGAGCTGATAATGAAGTGGTAGGAAAAACAGACGAAGGGATATAGTGAAGCAAGAGAGGGAGAGGGAAGAAGAGAAGGAGGGGGAAGACCAATCACGCAATCACCTGACAGAAGTGTGATGACCAGCTGACTTGCGAGCTAGCTTCTACATAATCATCGGCTGTGTATACTCAATTACACAGCACGACTGGAACTATTGAAATAATTCCTAGTGCTAGACATTATAACTCAGCGCAGCACAGGCATGTACGCAAGGAGGGCTAAAGTATGAAAATTCACTAGTGAGTAATGTGGTTGGCAGAGTCAAAAGTTTCTATTTAATATGTTATGAGAATTTATTTTTGTGCATTGACAACCCGCTAATACCAACCCAATGACTCACGCCTGCGCGATACATTCAATCTCAATAACCGTTCCATCGCCCGGAGGAACTGCCTGCAGACACGACCGAGAAGGCATTGGCTTGGGCAGAAAATCGATATACACCTCGTTCATGGCAGCAAAGTCCTTCATGTCTGCCAGGTAGACATTGTACTTGACTACTTGCTCGAGCGACGACCCGGATAGCTCGAGCACCTCCTTGAGGTTTTGGAGTACAGTTCGCTGTTGAGCTGGTTAGAAAACTGGATCTTATACCAGGGAGACGCTGAGTGAGGGCATGCTTACTGTGGCTTGCTTAATCTCTCCAGTGGCAGTTTGACCGGCACAAAAAACAAGTCCGGGAACTTTGACTGCGGGGCCTGCAAATACAAGTTAGCCAGTGCCCTTAACTGGTAACAAACAAGTTGGGGGAGCTACTCACAGTTGTGAGGCTTGGGAGGGAACTTCTCGCTCGAGATAAGTTGGCGCGACATATTGATTGGATGACTTTGGATGTGGTAATCTTCGATACTCTGAGATTAGAGCTTGTGATCTGAATTGGGGATGCCAATGTCATTGAACTCCCCTTTAAATGGCTTTTTCTGCTAGTCCAATTGTTGCGACATGTCTCGTGGATGGCGATGCCAAGCCTGCACTGCGGATGCCGTGGGAGGAGCTCCTCCCTTATCGTTATCACAGCTATACCTAACTAGCTGGGTTGATCGGCACGAACTAACCACCTTCGGCGATCCGAGAGCAACCCTATCGGACACGCTAAGATAGCGACGCCATCGAGGGAGGAGGCTTGGTTGGGAGGAAGAACGCGAGATCGATAAGCATCCATCATGCCATTGCTTCATCCGTTACTGCTCCGGAGGCAGTACTGTACGCATCCCGTGGGCTCCTCTGCCAGATGAGCTCCCCTGAACTGTATCACATGGCTTGGATAATCTGGGCATGGTGGACGCCGAGATAGTCTCAATCTAGACGTGTATATAATCAGACTTCAATTCGGAGTAGAAGAGATAGCAAATAGCCATATCACAGTCACTGCATATCACTGATCAAACAATATCAATCTTCCTTGTTCCATCATGGCGCCCACAGCTCCATTCAACCCTCCTTCAGCTGACCTGCCCGGGAAGCCATCTGTGCCAGAATGGGTTCCCCCTCCGGTAACGAAGGAGAAACACAATTTTGCTCAGCTCAAGTCAATTGATCTTTCGCTGCTCGACTCAGAGGACCCAGCAGTAGTAGATCATCTGATCCAACAGGTCAAGATCGCCATCCGTGATGATGGTTTCCTCTTCCTTGAGAACTACGGCGTTTCCTTGGAGCAGGTAGGTGGAAGCCCTCAGTAGTGACAATGGTACACTTACTCATAGGTCTTGTCTGCAGCTCCATCGCCAATTCGCCCTTGCACAGTATCTTTACAACAACATCAGCGAGGAAGACAAAGAGCGCCTCCTGTTCCACCCCGATACAGGTCTCTGGTCTGGATACAAGCACCCGTACGGGTTCAAGGTAAGACACCACCCCCAGCCTTCTCGAATGCTATAGGAACTAACCTCAACATATAGCGCAACCGTGGGCCCGCCGACGGAATCGAGCAATTTAACTGGTACAAGCAGGATTGGGAGGACATTAACCGAGTCCCCACATGCCTGCATCCATTCATGGATGAGATCGAGGCTTTCTGCAACTACCTGACGCAGTCCGTCAACCGACGCCTCCTTACCCTCTTCTCCCGTGTTCTTGAGCTACCCGACGATTACCTCTGGAACAACGTCCAGTCTCATGGCAGCCCAACCGGAGAAGGCTACTTCCGACATGCCCTATTCCGACCAGTGCAGAAGCAAACTGAAGAGGCATCAAAGGGTCTCCGCATGCACGGACACACTGACTTTGGCTTGACCACGCTATTATTCTCCGTTCCCATTTCCTGTCTTCAGATCTGGGGCCGTGATGAACAATGGTACTATGTGCCATACAAGCCCGGTGCGCTGGTCATTAACATCGGGGATACTTTGGAGATTGTGTCGGGAGGACATTTTAAGGCGACTCGGCACCGCGTGTATAAGCCACCTGTGGATCAGTTGAATGAAGAGCGGCTGTCCTTGGTGCTGTTCAACAGTTCGGTTGGTGATTTGAGAATGGCGCCTGCATATGGTAAGTGTGCCTGAATTTGAAATGCCGGAAGAATCAAGTGTGTGCTGATAACTGCTAGACTCCCCTCTTATCCAACGGGAAGGATGTGTTGAGGAACAAGGTGTCTACAAAGAGTTCCGACGACTCACATCGCAGGGCCAATTGGTCCCAACGAACCGTGAATGGCGCGAGATCCAGATTGCCACTGTCACAGACCCAACGGATACTGTGCGCAATCGACTTGGAGCTGACCAGGTGCTTATTGATGGAAAGATTATGCATCAGCGAGAGTACATGGGGGTCAAGGTTGTTTTGCCTGTTTGATGGGTCAGCAGATTGAGTCGTGGCTGAGATGTAGAATGACTGTACGCAAAGTATTTTATTCTTAGTTTCATTATTTCATTCTGTCTTTCACTTAGTTACGATTACAGAGCCTTGGATGGTAACAGTAAGCAACTATCTTTGCTATTGCCCTAGAACCGATAGCGAGGGATGTATCTGCGATTTAATACACCACTCTTACACTCCTCCGCGCTGTCACCCCCAGGATTTCTTTAAGTCGGGACTTTATCACTCTTCGTCATAAATTCAATCGACCGTATCCGCGCACCATCGATCCTCCCGAGCCTACTCCAATCAGGAAACGAGGTTGTACAGCATTAGAAACAGCTAAGAGTCACAATCATCAACTCTATAGCATGAGGATATATCCTAGCTACCAACTCATACAGGAAGATCAAAATTATCACCTCAACCCACCCGCCAACAAAAGACTCTGTCCCGTCATATACCCGGTCGTAACTAGCATCAAAACCACATTAGCTGTCTCCTCCGGCGTCCCCAACCTCCCCAGCGGAATCCCCTTCACCACCTCCGGCACTGCCGCAGCATTCGGAATCATTCCCGTGTCCCCAATCATAGCAGGAGCGACATCATTCACACTGATATTATACTCAGCCAATCTGGTAGATAGGTTCTTCATCATGCCGGTGAGGCCGCTTTTGGAGGCTGCGTAATCTAAATATCAATTTTAAATAATTAGTAATATACTCTTTTCTTATGCGCGTATATTATATAGAAAAGTGGGTGCAACTCACGACACCCATTAATCCCACCACCATACGCCGCAATCGACGACATGAAAACAATGCGTCCCCAGCGCTGTGCCTTCATGTGCTCGACCACGCCTTTGACTAGGATGAACGAGGCGCGGAGATTAGTGGTGATCATGTCGTCGAAGTCCGATAGATCGATGTCCCAGATATTTGTAATTCGCTTGCCGGTCCCGGCGTTGGAGATGAGAATGTCAGGGCTGTGGCCATCATGTTGGGCGATTATTTGGTCGAATAATGAGGTGATGTCGGTAGCGGAGCGGAGGTCGACTTGGTGGATGGAGATGCGGAGATCGGGATGGCGGGTTTGCAGATCTCTGTGGAGAGATTGTATCGCGGCGACATTGGTGGAGTATGTGAGGGCTAGGTGGGCGCCATTTTCGGCGAGTTTGTGGGCGCAGGCGGAACCGATACTGAATTTAGGAGTTTGTTAGTCCTAGTGCTTCAATCTGGGGGCTAATCAAGGGCAAAGTTCCATGGAAGTTATGGGAGAAAACTGACCCTCCTGAAGCGCCAGTGACTAGGGCTAGTCGACCTCGGATGTCGTTTGCGGACATTTTTTGGGATGGGCTGATTACTAGTGCGTGTCGGTATGTATCTTGATATCGTATATCTGGGATAGCAATCTACTATTTTCTCTCAGGGAGAAGTCAGAGTGGCCAGTGGTGCATTATCAAGAGCCAGATAGCAGAATACCCGCGCTTATAGTATCTCGGAGCTCCTCCGGGACCCACATGGAGCTCCTCCTGGCCCAGGAAGGGGTCTGTACTCTGTAGGGCCGCATGAGTAGGTCCTGGCCCCTGAAATGGAATGTAAAAAAAAAAAAAGATTTTTGAGCTGGACAAAGAATCATTTTTAAAGGGTTAGCGTTGTATCTAGAAGTGAAAGAATATGGTGATACCGTATCGTCGGAGTTAAACATCCAAGCCACGGGGATAATACTTTGCAATGATTGGATAACTGTAGTCAGTATCACACTGCAAAGAGCGTTCCTCTATCTCCCCCTTATCTTCGTTTTATGACTGATTGTGAAATTTAGCCACAGTAGCCTTTGAATCTGGAATTGGCGGGTTCCTTGAATGGTATAGTGAACCATGCGATCAACTGATAATATATTGCAGCCTCTATCACTGAAGTCGTGCCCATAGCGACTAATCATATCTCGATGTACTTGTGATGACTTGACAGGGATCTGTGTGTGCTTGGTGACACTGCTGTACTCAGGGGCTCTCTGATAATATTATTGCAACTTCTTCTCTTTTCCTTTTTCCTTCTTAGACCCACCCAGTTGTTGTAAGCGTGATGTTGTCCTCACTCACCATGGGATTGTCTGCCTTTGAAAGTGCAATATCGCTGCTTAGTAAATGGTTTGCCCATATAGGATGAGTGTGGCTACAGAAATGATTTATTTGACGAACATGTTCTTTCGACCAACCGGCTCTACAGACTAGCCGGAGTCAGCCATTCAGCGCATTAGACTAAGTGGGAAACAGATTGCTTGAAAATTAGTGCTTACGATGAAGTGGAGAGGCGAATAATAATGCCACGCCATTGGTTCGTGTGACTCACATTTATATCCCTCATCGTCGTGCTGTCCCCTTCATCAATTTGGCCCACCTCAACTATGAGCCATGGATCGTTTGCCACCAGAGCTGAAGCTACATGTGGCAGGTGCGGTAAGACTGCTACTACCCTCTCTTTGGAATTTCCTAACTTGGCGTCTAGGTGAGCAACGTGTCGCGGGAAGCTATGCGAGCCTTATCACAGGTCAACCGTCAGTGGAGTCAGATCGTCGCGCCCATTCTCTATAAGAATATTACACTACCGCTACGATCCCTTGAGCCTCAGGATCGCATTCTCCAACTTCTAGACGTCAGCCGCATCTTACCGCATGTTAAGAAATTAACACTCCTTGCTAGAAGCTACTCCACTAACCTACCGGTCCCGGACGAAAGCATAGGCGATTTTCTGGAACAAACCCTCCCTGAAGATATCGATGTTTCACTACTGTGTGAATTTGTAGGTGATTGGACCCCGACCATTGCCCTGGTGAAGCGGTTGCCCTGTCTGCAGCAGCTGAGCATCCTGGCTTTCGCACGTTATGCTAAGCTTCTGGATGTCGTCGCGGAGGTGCATCCATCCTGTCGTGTGTCTATATTCACGCTTAGTCGGTTTTCTCCGAGGTGGATTCTCTATTGGTCCGAATGGCTTCGTTCTCCCGTGCTACATGCGGTCACAGTCATATGCCATGATGAAAGACATATGACAACCTTTAAAGAGGATCCTGATCGTGCTCTGTGGGACCTTCTCCATCAAGCACGGCAGATAAAGTATTTATCGCTGCAAATTAGTGTCAAACCCTTGGACTGGATAATCTTAGAATCTACAAGTTGGTCCCCGTCCCAGCTGTCAGAGGGCGAAATCATCGAGACTCCGCGTGCGAAGCTAGAGACGCTTTCGCTACCCTTGATCACGAAAATGACTGCGGCACAGCTGCAAAGGTGGTCCCGGATTACTGATCTGGCATATCTCACCGAGTGGGCGGCGGGTACCATCGAGGAAATGACTGCCTTGACGGCCATCACTGAGCTGCAGCCTTTCCGGGCATTAAAGCGGTTAACGCTTAGACTTGACCAACCAAAAGACTCTCCATGCTGGCCAAGGGCAGTCAAGAGGATGTTTCGCTCACTCCCACCATTGAATTACCTCTATCTTGTGGGAAGATATAACCCAGCGATACTTCCCACCGCTATTCTGAAACGACACGGCCCCACTCTGACCGAGCTGAAGTTGTACTACAAGCGGTCACAGTTTCAACGAATCGACGAGGCGCGTCCACGCCCACTTAGAAAGCAGAGTGCTCCCACGTTCCCTCCAGCCGTCATTGCCCACATTGCAGCCTGTGCCCTGCTCTGCAGACGCTGTGTATCTGCGTGCAGCGATACCGAGGCCACCCGATCGAGGCGCAAACATACGACGCTCTGGCGAAGTTCCCGGTCTTACAGACGTTGGATCTTGTCCTCAATTGCGTGGCAGCAAGCAAGGCCGACGGGACGCCGTCTCTGCCGCGGGAGCTGACGGCGTACGAACAAGAACTCTTCCCATACCGCTTCGGCCAGATCTCCAAATGGACCATCCGGGACTGCATGATCAACTCGGCCATTGATGAATCGCTGGTCAAGGCAATTTTCAATCGCATCCTAATGGGCCAACAGGGTCGCTCTTTGCAGCTGCTCCGCTTACATCCGCACCTTGGCAAGTTCGAGCCCTGGATGAGCACGGACATGCGCAACCGTCTACCAGTTAGTGCAGGGGAGATGATCAAGGGATTGGCGGGGGCGTGGCAGGTCGAGTGGCCCAGATATGGTAAACCGCAGTTGGAAAACCGGTTCAGGCCCAGTCGTGATCATGAAGCTGTAATAAGCCCCGAAGATGGCGAGATCTTCGAGTCAATTTGGCCGTCAACTCGGGAACCCAAGACTTGGCCCCTGGAATGGTGTAGCTGGCCTCTGCAGTAGACTATGTTGGTCAATGGGACTTTCTATCTGACCATACTGGTAGGCTGTTACTCCATGGGAAAAGGCATACGGTCAGAAGTTGGCTCAGACAGCCTAGGCAGAAATGCGTGCGTGTCAGGATGTCGCAGATATTTCCTAGCTGGGAGGGTCGACTTAACCACGGCGAGCCTCGTGGCCTCGGAGAACGTTGAAATGTACTAATTCGCTTTGTTCGAATGAGACGACATTCGAGTACTTATGTATAGTCCAGCCTCAGCCAGAGAAGGTGACACCTGATGTTGCGGAAGCAAAGCTCATCGTAGAGTTACTTTGCGGCTAGACTAAAAGTGGGTGGTTAATGCATACGGAAGGCAGGCACAGTAGGGCGCGGTCGGCTGCAGGGGCTGACATTCTGTAAACACACGCGCACACATGCACACACATGTTAAAATGAAGCCATCATGTCCGCGTTTCTTACGTTGTCCCTGGCGTGTAACATCGTCAGGCTTTTCCAATGTTTATCGTCCGAAGTTCATCTCCGCTGCACTATCTACTGCCGTATCCGCAGGGCTGATCTGCCAAGGCGAAAGAGGTACGCGATACCGACTTGTCCGACCTCTCGGAACACCAGCACGCGGCAACACCTCCAACGTGTGGTTAGCGATAGACGATTCTAGACCTGATGCTGAGTACGTTATTAAAAGGCCGCCTGGAGACAACAACGACAGTCCATGGTCCACCACTGCTCTCGCTGCATTCAGGCATGAATTAGAGATGCAAATATTGTTTGCACAGGATTCTATGATTCGCAGACTCGTGGATTACGTTCCTGAGTCGGAGCCTGCTGGACCAATGTTGGTCCTTGAAGCATTCACAGACTCGCTCTGGGATGCTCGAAATGCCCGGCCGTTCACTACGAAGGAAATCAAGTGGATTATGAAGGGGGTACTCCTTGGTATTTTTACGGTCCATATGAAAGGCCTCGTTTATACGGGTAAGACTGAATGTCAGATAAATTCCCAGAATTGGTTACAAAACTAAGCATGTCCTAGATTTGAAGATGGAGAACGTTGTACTGGGAGGGTTTGATTCTTCCAAGCCCAATGAGAATTTCCGTGATGTGATCGTTAGACTGGCAGATTGCGGTTCTGGTATGGGTCATTCCTTCTCCCTCTATCCTTAACCAGCAAATCTCACATATTTAATAGTTAGCAAACCATCTACCAGAGAGATCACCTCCCTCACATATCGAAGTCCCGAGGTCCACTTCGGGAGACCTTGGAGTTCGAGCACGGATGTTTGGTCCTGGGGGATAATAGTTAGTGAATTCTCTTTCGGATGTCTTCCTCGCGTTGCTCTCTCTGACGATATCACCTACAGTTAGCCCAATTGTTCCAGGCCCAGGTGGACTTCATATCACCTGGAATGTATGATTCAATCCGAACTGGAACTATGACAGAGAAGCGAGATGCCATTCGCGATCAGCTCGCAGTTGACTTTGACTTGTCATCGCTGCCATTCTATGCTGAAGACGAACAATGCGCCCGGATCCTGCCTATCCCACAACCAGAAACGGCATACATGTGGGCAAACACCATGGTAGAGAAGGGCATTTCGCATGAGGATATCCAATTTTTGGTGGAGGTTCTACACCCAGATCCAAATGCTCGCCTTACGGTGCGCGAGATCCTCGAAAGTGGATATCTGGACGGCTAAGAGGGATTAATTTCTGTTCTCACCATGCATCGCCGGCGCCAAGTCGGAAATTATGGGAGCGCCCGCGAAGTCGTTACGGATTTTGAAGTCTCTACAAGAGCGGCTATCACTTTGGGCATATGTAAAATCGAAAAGTGTTCAGACCTGATTACTGATAGCAATCAGAGCATTGTGAAAGTTCAAAAATAAGAATAAAACATACAACAGAAGGGATTCGCTGGTGGTCACCCACCCAACTACTAACCTCCCGGCGTGTGGCTTGAGTACGGCTGAGCGGACGGGAAGCCCTATTTTCCACACCCTGTGGTCGTATGTACTAGATTATTTCTGTACGCAGCATATGTCATTCCAGCGACAAATTACTATGATAAAGTACTTATAATTTACCCAGATGAAGTTCCATAAAGTCGCCATGTACGCCTAGCTGAATCAACTCTTGAATTACTGCGTGACATGGTTGAGAAATATCATGGGATGAATGGGCTGATACAGATCTAGATTTCTATTCATCATCATGAAAGTGAAATAAAAGACTGGGATATTACCTTTCGCTGCCCGAATCGACGCTGGATGTTCACATGTGGGCCTCCACGTCGGCTTGCGTTCTTCCATTCCTCTAAGCCCAAATATTGTGCAAGACTGACGGAATTGAAGGCTACCGAATTGTTTTGTTTAGCCAGTGGCCCCGAAGTTAGAGCTAGGTGACGTCCACAGGCGGAAAGCTGATCCGGTGCTTGCGCATCTATTTCATCACCTACGACATGATGTCGACAGACGTTCCATGTATCTTGTGATGACTTACAAATAGAATAACTTCACCTCCCTTTATTGCTTTGAAAGTTCAGCATTCACCCTCTCTTCCAGCTATCTTCCACGTTCTAACCGCTAGACCCAAAAAGAAATATCGCGCCTATCCGACGGCTGCCCGAGGAATATGTCCGAAAAGTTATCAGATTTCGACATGGCCCCAAAGCCTCAAACCAGGAGGCCTTTCAACTCAATGCAATCTATGTTGACAAAGCTCCATTTGAATCACAGCCTGAGATTCTCATTTAGTGCCCTGCCTCCGAGACTGGTGGAAAACATATTCAAATTCCTCTCCGCCCCAGATCAGATCTGTTTCGGACTAAGCAGCAAATATATACTATGGTGTCTCAAGTCCTATCTTGAGGAGCAGAAAACCCAGCTTTATCAGCTTCTCCCCGTCGGAAAACGAAAGGACATATTTGCCAAGATTGAACAACAACCCAGAGTACAGTTGCTACTTCGACTCGAGAGCGATCGTTGGAGATACTGCAGTGACTGTCAAGTTCTCCACCCAGCTTTTACCTGGCGGTCTCTACGCGATTTTAAGGAAACGCATACGAAGCAATCGAAATGTTGCTCTGGATGTTCCGTTCTAAAAGGCAGTATACGCTGTATGCCATATGCTGGCGAAGTTGACATTTGCCCGTGTACCAGAATCACATTCGTTGATAAACTGGACTTGATACGGCTATGCAAAAAGGAAAAAAGGTTCGTTCCTGTCAGCAATGGAAAGTCCAGTAGCGTTCCTCCCACCCAAAAGCCGTATAAAGATTTCCAGCATTCCTGCGTGTTCAACGCAAACCCTTCGTTTAGGGTCAGAATCAGGACTGATCTTTTGTTCGATGATACGCACCAGAGACTGTGCCTGTACAATTTTTATGAGATCTACACTGTACCCGGATGTCCTTTGAAGAGCTTGCGATCTATCACCATCTGTCCACACAGGAACATAGTGGATTTTGCTCGGCAAATCTTTCATGAAGGTGGCTCAGGATTTATGGGGTGGGAGAAGAATCGCTCAACCCGCTCTGCAAAATTTAGTAGTTGGGCGAGGTATGAGAATGCAGAAGGTTGCTACTACTCCATGACGATATCAACAGCAAGAGACTTGGGAAAAAGTGATTGGCCTGATAAAGCTTGGACTCGCCAATCTTCTCGTCGAAATTCTCCTAGCGGGAATGCTTAACTGAAAGGCGTCATTCGATCTGATAATGTTTGAAAAACGGTCATCTATCTGCCTTTCCTGATATGTGCTAGTATGACGCACAGCTTGACTAAATGTTATTCTACACAAGACTTTTTGGATGACCTAAGGCAATAGTCATTGATCTTAATTCGGTAACAGAGAGACTAGGTATTCTCTTCGCTTTTACTTGTAAAGATCGAACAATACCCACGTTTAGGTTATTAATCCTCAGAAATTGATGAAACCGTGCAAGTATACCGTTATATTTTGACAGTACCGTACTGCCTATCAATTGTACATTTTTATCCTGTATAACGTAGAATTTTCGGATATCCCCCTTCATCTCCGTCGCTAACCCCAATGGCTAAGAGCAAGTCCGCCATTTCAATCTTTAGACAACCATCGCTAAACACTAAGCAGAACCCGTAGCAGCAGCAGATGCACTCGTGCTCGAAAGTGCCGCAGCAATGTCTCCCATACCAGCCATGCTCATCTCAAAATCATCATTGACCTCACCTCCATCCTCAGTCCAGTACCCCTCAGGAGACAGCGAGTCATCACGCTTGACATTCACTCCGATCGAGATCCAAGCGAAGATACCGTCCGAGACACTGTCACCGAGAAGAACATACTCCATGAACGGGTCAGTCGTGTCTGCCTCCATTTGCAGAATGTCATCGTCGGCATTCTCAGTCAGACTCTGGGTATTGGTCGAGTAGGGACTCGTCTTCTCGACCTCGGTAATTAGGTCCTGGTCGAAGAAGATCTGGCCCACATGCGACGAGTGGCTGTCGTACATGCCGGCTATGGTGCCGTTGGGAAGGATTTTGGTTTCGTTGGCGGGGTGGGTTACGACTATGCATTTAACGTTTATTAGTTTGGAAGCCTTCCAAAAGAGCCAAGAGGTAAATGGAAAGATAACGATTGGGGAGGGGTACAGGTGTACGTACCGTGAATGTGAACCGCTCGGCCAGAATAATGCCCGGGGAAGATCGACTCGAAACGTACGACTCCGTCGTCTCCACTGGGCTGGACGCCGCGCAGGAAGGTCGTGTTGATGTTACCTTGGTCATTGGCGTTTCCGTTGCCGCTCTCGACTACACCGGAGTAGACACCCTGTTTCCCGTAAAGTGGGGTAGAGGTTAGAGGCTCAGGCTCAAACTGAGATTAACAGTGATATTGGGGAGGCTCATACGGTTGCGTTGCAATGCCAGATGTCCGTGTAGATGTTAGGCAAAGGCTCGCAGGTATTAGTGTCAATAAGCTGGATATCCATGAACAACGGCACACCGGCCTGGTCCTCGGCCACGTTGCGGCGGATGAGCTCTCCGGCGATGTCTGCAGCGTGCATTGTAAGGGTTCTTGTTCCAGTCGAAGGAATAGCGCAAAAGACATACAGTAAGGACCCTGAGTCACCTCGGGCTGGACGATGCAGGTGCCGCCGGATGCGAAGATGACACTTGGGTCAGTTGATGGGTTGACACCGGTCAAGTTGGAATGGTGATCAGTGGCGAGGACTGAGTCCAGATCACGAGCCTTGATGTATTGGGGGCCTAACCTATTAGTTGGGACTGTACTGGGTGTGGAGAAAGTGGTATCAATTAAGGGAAGGAAATGTCCCTTCTAGCTCAATACTTACTGGACAGTCTCCTCTCCTGACGCAAGTGCTGAAGGGCATTCGCACGCCGAGCGACATTACTATCTTCAACTCCACGAGCCTTGAGGGTGGAAGCACATTGAGCGAGGCTGCGTGACTGCACAGGTGCACGCTTGAGGAACGCCGCCCGTTCAGCAGCTTCATGCTTGACATCGTGTCCCGGATGACCAAGTCCCAGAGACGCCAGCACGGCGACGCTGATGATCAAAGGAAAAGAAATATGAACCATCTTGACAGGTGTCTGGAAGGAGTGAAGCTAGCAATTGAAGAATGAATTCTAAGCTGCAATTGATCGGCTCGATACTACCTAGGAGCTCATGGTCTTTATAGGTCATTTTTACTCCAACTCCAACTCCAACTCCAACATCGGCGACAATGGAACCATCTAGGTCTAAAAGCGAACGTCATCCCGTCCCACACTCATGTTTCGATGTTTGGACCCAAATACATCCACCAGTCAAATCCTCATCTTGAGCAATCTAAAAGCTGGGCTCGCTCAGGGCTGGTTGCTATGTCTCGGTGCCTATTGAACCCCTCCTGTGGCATATTGTTACTGCAGCACACGCGTCCATGAATTGCGCCATAATGAGGTGGATAAAGCTCCAGTTCTTGTTGTTGGCTACTCCAGCTACTGGGCAAAATTTCTGATAGAAATTGATTTGATGCCAAGTCAAAGCCAAGGCATACAAAGAGCCGATCTGCAGGGGTGACGAAGTTTCCAGTCACGGACGTACCCACGGTCAGGCGAAGAAGTATTAAGTGATGATAGTAGTTTGGATGTAGAAAACAGTGATACCACCTGAGAAGTCACCTTATATGAGATATACTAATGTCATATTTTCGATGCTGAACAACTTAAAATACTTCTTACGCGCAGTGGCATTTCATAGAGCTCAGTACTCGGTTCAAGCCCTATGCGGGAATTTGTAACTCGAGACTGCCGAGAAGAAAGGGTTGATGAGTAATCGGGATCTGCGCATTCCGATCCCCCCCACGGCCCTCTGGCCCAATCGACGCCAAGATATTAGACATTGGGGTTGATCAATCAATCGGCATCACAGCTTGCGTCACTTTTGCCCAGAAGCAGCAGCATTTGGCAGAAAGGTATATAGGGTACCTGCGTGACTGCTTTTGCGCGGCTATTACCAATTACCCGTCGATAATTGGAGTCGCTATACACTTCGCACTAGAGATGAAGGCCTCAAACACAGCGGGGACGTGGATACTATTTGCCACAGGCTGTTTACCTAGGTCATTTTATATACAGTGATATGCCCTGTCGCAAAACCACTTAATAGGGGGGACTGCAAATCGAGATGTCATAATCTTGGGAAAGCTTCGGCTAAAGTCTGCTTCCGAGTACTAGAAGAGTAAACGTAAGGGCAGCCACCAAAGTATGTCCTTCATATTCCGAACCTGGAAATACTAGGTCCGGCTGACGAGTATTATCGTGGGCCTCCAAGTTCCGTCCCCACCTAGTAGAACTGGATATTTCGAAGTTTAGCTCTGTCCCTTAATGCGATTAAATGGATGTTTGTTGGGCATTCTTCGATATCATGACTGATCCGAGTAGACCCAACGAGATACGCCCTGTCGCCTTGGAGAAGAAGGTAATAGTACTGTCCAATTCCTATTATGGGTTCTTTGAGTGGAATGGAAGCATCATGATATATATTATCGTGGCGTGTGAGAATCGAACAGATGAGGATACAATGAAAGAGAGGTGATTAACAAAGGATATCTCGTGACTATCATCTTCAGTGACAAGTACCCTCGCATACTTCACAACGTTGGCCGCGAAAGCCGTGCTATGACCGCTATTCGGGCCTTGTTAGTCACCTAAATTCCCGAAGATTCGCAAATATTACTATAGCAGCATTTGCAGTATTGGAATGTTAGGATAAACCGTAAAAGAGTTTTCATGACTAGACTATAGTTGCCTGAATATACCAGTGCAATCAATACTCTGCTACTATAGCAACCGGGCTCAATCTACACAGCCACAGTAATGTGGGATTTCTGGCGTTCGTCATTGGACAGTTGCGTTTTGATCATAGTATTTCTAAATCCCTAGCCATCTTGCATCGTGTACTGATAGCCCAATATTAGGTTAGGGTAAGGTAGTATGTCCAGCTTCTATGAACTTGTATGTTAGATACTCCGACCCCCAGAAGGTGAAAGTTAAAAGAGATTCATAGCCTGCACATGTATCTCAAATACCCGAAATAACCCCACTCATACCCAAAATAAGACCAGCCGCTAGACTTCATAAAATCGATATATAAGTACTACTCCATTTATGGGATATGTAGTTCAGAACACATTTCACAAGGAATTAGCCCAGAACCCACCACCAGTATTGCTTGAAGTTTAGAAGAAAGATAACTACACTTATGCATCTTGACCTGATATATGATCTTATCACTACCAAATTTCGTCTCCCATCCTCACTCGTACTTATATCTCTCCTCCAATTCCTGTGAGCATTACCATTTAGCAGAAGTTACTGAAAGCGAAAAGTATGAACCATAGCACTCACCCAGTACTTATTAAACCCAACACCTTCACAAACTTGGTCATATGTCAGTATCATAGGCGGCGCTCCAACCGTCATGCTCCGCTTCAACCCATCAAGGGCTTCGCGGAGTCCCCGCAAATGCGCAGCGACCAACGTCCACGGATACGCCACAGCGCAGAACCCCAATTCCGCGAGGTCCTTTGCTGATAGGTTTTCGGTCTTACCGCCTTCAATAATATTTGCGAATGTCGGAATGCCCACTTCTTGCACGCAGCGTGTCATGGCCTCGCGGTCCGGCAAAGCTTCAACAAAGACTGCATCGACACCGAGACGGCGGAACTCGTTTGCTCGGGACATAGCTTCGTCCCACCCGTGGATGAGAGCATCCGTCCGTGCCAGAATAAATATATCTAGACCCTGATTTCGCGCGTCACAGGCGGCTTTGATCCGAGCAAAGGCTTCCTCGCGCGACACGACGCTTTTGCCTTTCGTGTGGCCGCATCCTAAAAGGGTTAGTATGTCATACAAGAATAGAAAGAGAATATCAGGCATACTCTTAGGCCATTGCTGATCTTCAATCATAACGCCAGCCGCACCAGCAGCAGCAAAGCTCTCCACTGTCCGCTTGACGTTCAATGGACTGCCATACCCCGTGTCGCCATCCGCCATAACAGGAACTGACACCTGCCGGACGGCATCACGAATCTTGTCGCACATCTCAGCCATAGCAATGTACCCCGTATCGGGGAGGCCGTAGGAGCTGGAAACCGCGTACCCGGCAAGGAAGACCATGGGAAACCCGGCCTCCTCGACCAGGCGAGAGGAAAGACCGTCGTAGGAGCATGCGTGCGCAAGGATCTTGTTTGGGTCTCCATGTGCCTCGAGCATCATCGTACGGAGACGAGATGCCTGAAGCGATGGGATTTTGCCGCGCACGTTTGGCAGTTTGACAGTCACATCCTGCGTGATGCCATTCTGGGGTCCAATACCTGGTTCGTGAGTCCGCAGGGAGTCGAACTGGAAAGGGTAAGGCACTTCGCTGGTAGACATGGTCAGGATTGGGTTTAGCGTTTATAGAGTAGGCCAAAATACTTCAGTTGCAAGACAATTGGGCTTGGGACAACGTGGGCGCTCACTTGACGTTTTATGAGGCCCTCAATTCGCCCGCGGATATTTCAAGTGTCGGGTATTTGGCAACATCCGCGACCCCGCTCCGCGCTGTCGGCAGTAGAGAATAGAAGTATCATTTTCATGTTTTGATACATGAACCCCGTGGGGAAATGCGATCTATTCCCCTGGTTGGCTCCAGATTGCGGGGAAGGCCATGTAGGCTCTCTTTCTACATTGGAATATAGCACTGTGGTCCTATAAAAAGGGCCATTCAGCGCAACATGGATTTTGCGGTTGAGGAACTACAATCAATCATTCCTATCTTCAAGGCATAACTTCACACAGTATGAGTCAAGTCTTTAAGCCTATCGATGATCCAGATTGTCAGCACATTGAGGGGGTAGATCCAGATTGCATGGACAATTCGCTTCAACGGGTTCACGTCAGTCTAGAACGACAAAGGTCAATCGTTCAGAAGGTAAGCTATTCATTTCATGTGATATAAATTGAGTGAAGCTCAGTTCCCGAAAGTTTGACCGGCGTCTATTGCCGCTCCTTTGCATCTTGTACATTTTGTCATACTTGGACCGCGGTGAGTGTACCATGTCTCAATGAATGTCCTCACATGGCTAATTTCTTTCCGAAGGCAACATCGGCAACGCAAAAATTGCTGGACTCCAAGAGAGTTTGCACCTCGATGACTCAGACTGGTCCTGGGTTCTGAACAGCTTCTATCTGTGCTATACTGTCTTTGAGTGGACAAACCTTCTGTGGAGACTATTTCCCGCGCATTATTATGTGGCAGTTTTGTGCATTTGGTGAGTAGTCCCTGTAATCGTATCAAGGTCATACAATATAAATTAAAACATTGTCTGAATACAGCTCGGGTGCTGCTGCCATGTGTAGCGGAGCAGTCCACAACCTTGGTGAGCTTATTGTGTGTCGGTGCCTGTTGGGTGTGTTCGAAGCCAGTTTCGGTGCTGGGGCACCTTATTTCCTCTCTCTGTTCTACCAACGACATGAGCTGGGGCTCCGCGTGTCGGTACTTCTAGGAATGTCTCCGATCGCGAACTGCTTTGCCTCTGCACTGGCATATGGCATTACTCAAATTCGGAATGGACTTGAGCCATGGCAGTATCTCTTTCTGATTGGTGAGTCTCGTTTGTCTCTCCAGAGCATCCATAAGAATTTTTGAAGATAATCTTTGAATGCAGAAGGGGCACCTACCGTGCTAATCTCCATTGTTGTGTTTTTCTTCCTCCCGGATAGCCCCGGGTCGGCTCGGTTCTTGAATGAGCAGCAACAAGCAGATGCAGTTGGGCGCCTGACAACACAAGACCGCACCGCAAAAGACCGCGTGCATTGGAAGCAGATATGGAGTGGTCTCCTGGACTATAAGAACTATGTGCACATGATCATACATTTCTGTTGCAATTATTCGTTTGCGGGTCTGTCCAACTTCCTGCCCACTCTCATTGAAGATATGGGCTACGTCTCCGTCCACGCTCAGGGCCTCACAGCCCCTCCCTATCTGGGATCTTTTGTTTGCTGCCTGGCAGCCGCCTTCCTGTCGGACCGATTGGGTAACCGAGGCTTAGTAGTGGTAGGATTTTCGTCAATAGGCTTGGTTGGCTATTTGATGCTAGCCTGTGTTCACGATGCTAGCGCAGACGGGGTACGGTATGCAGGTATCTGGTTAGCAACATGTGGAGTGTTCCCGTCTCTCGCGATTAACATAACCTGGTTACTGAATAACCAGGGTGGCGACAGTAAACGAGGAGCCGGGATGGCAGTTTTAGCGATATTCGGGCAGTGCTCGAGCTTCGTCAGCAGCTCTTTATTTCCGGCCACTGATGCACCCAACTATACGCGTGGGTGTGCTGCGGGCGCAGGCTTGACGGGCTTAGTGGTGGTTCTTGGCGCCGTGCTACACTGCAAACTCAGGCTCGAAAATGCTCGACGGAACCGGGTACATGGTCGCGTCAATGAGGAACATGCTATCGATGTGACGGAAGCTGGAGATGATGATCCTAATTTTCGCTACATCACTTAGTTAACCTCAGATGCTGTGACTAGTATGCATTAAGAATTTTGAGTGGCGTGGGGCAAGTGCACCCGAAATTAGGTTTAGTGCAATATAAAAGTGTCGGGTATTTGGCAATTGCCGAACTGCAGCTTCCCTTTCTCCTCAACATCCTCTCTTACCCCAGCATCATGGAACACAAACCCACCAGGCCATCACGCAGTCGAGCAGTAAGCCGGTACCAGTATCAGAGAGCATATCAGGCCTGCATCCCTTGTGCAAGACGCAAAACCAAATGCAAACGCAGTGACAATGCAATCGCCTGCGAGAGGTGCGAAAAGAAGGGTATCCAGTGCATGTCTAGTAGCAAGCGACCATGGTCGCGAAGCACTCCTAAAGGGAATAACCTAGATACATATTCACCCCCAGTCACCCCGGATGCTGAACCTGATTCAGCACTAAGAATGAGAGAGATCCATGATGTCGACGGTTCACGAAGCCCATTGTAGGTCCCATCTTCAAAGAAATCCTCTGTAAACAGTCACTAACCTGAATAGCGAAAGTGAGGCCCGAAGGGAAGACAGCTTAGAGCGAGACATCGACCCAGAACAACGGCGGTTGACTAGTGGAAATGAATTCTCTCAGTCAATGATGGAAACAGTGGTTTCCAACGAACAGGATGCCATGAGATTGTTATTCAAAGCAGCGGCCCCGTCAAAACGTCCCACCGAAGTCGCCACACCCCAGTCGTCGAGACTTCACAGTGACAGCAATGAGGATTATAGTTACCTAGACGCTCTCCGTGTGTGGAATGCATGCCGTTTTGTTCGGATGGGGTGGTTTACAGCCCAAGAGGCCATCTCTCTCATAGAATGGTAACTATGTCGCCCTCTCAACAAGACAGCTTCTGTGTTTTTACAAACTAACAATGGGCAGGTTTTTCACTCACCTCAGTCCGCTTTCGCCAATCCTCACCGATTTCTATGCCTCTCCTACAAATCATTTCTGGCTTGTTACACAAGAACCCTTCCTTTGCTGCACCCTCCTCCTTCTCGCCTCCCGTTATTACATTCTTCCCGGTCGCGCCGGAAGAGTACGGTCCTCGTTTATCCATCACCGTCTCAGTCAACACTGCCAGCACCTCTTGCTCCGAGTCATGCTTGGGCAGGAAAAATTCTCCAAGGCCAAAACACGAACCCTAGGTACGATAGAGGCACTGCTGCTGCTCTGTGAATGGTACCCCAAGTCGTTACACTTCCCTCCAGAGAGCGATGGTTGGGACTCGGATTTGATTATGACAGACCCGGACGTGCGCGACCCGCAGCTGGAGAGCGAGCATGAGCCTTCTGTCTCGCTTCAGTGGCAACAAGAAGTCATTGAGCCGACCAAGCGTCTCGAGCGTATGTCCTGGATGATCCTCAGTGCAGCTGTCGCCCTTGCCCATGAGTTGGGGGTATTCAGAGATGAAGTTACGTTGCCGCCAGTCCAGACGCAGACTCGATCAGACAGCAGAGTTTATCACGAGACCCTGGAATTGAGGCGAAAACGACTTCCTTCTCTGCTGTTAGTCTATTCAGACATGGTATCCGCACGGATTGGATGTGACTCGCTCATTTCTTTGGACCCCAACTCGCCGAGTGTTCTCCTGTCTGCGGATGACGAATGGTGGGCGCCGATGCGGTTGTGGGTAAGGCTCATGCAGATCTTCAGGTCTATAACGTCGACTTATACCGCCATCTTGAAAAAAGCTAGACCTGGTGCTTCGATCAGGTCTCTGATTGATGCGAAACGTCAGGAGCTTTCTGAATGGAGATCTATCTATGAGTCAATCACCGGTATGTTGGTTTGTTTACTCCGCGATCGTCATCAGTGATTCCAGCTAGCGCGAGATGTACTAAGGTTCCTGTAGTAAAACAGACAAACTTCAGCAACACCCTTTTCATTGATTACCAGCATGTCCATACCATACTTAACTCCATCGGCATGCAGGAGATGCTCACCCTCAACTCTCCGCGAGACATCAGTTCTCCGTGTGGATATACCGATGCCGTCATTGATGGGTGCACCCAGATCCTCGCCAAAATATCCACACTGAGCCATAGTGGGCTATTGCGCTATATGCCCGTTCGTATATTTTTCCGGATGGCTAGTAGCTCAGTTTTTCTTCTAAAGGGGTTGGCGTTAGGGACACCCCGGGTGCGACTTTCTTCAGCTCTTAGAACACTAGAGTCCACAATCGAAGGGTTACAGGAGGTATTAGCCGAGGACGAGCTTCACTTAGGTGGCCGATATGCCAAGCTCCTTGAAATCGTGGTGGCCCGTCTCCGAAAATCCCTCCTTGATGCATCCTATGTTTACGGTGATCTTGGAGAGGAGCAGATCAGGAGCACCAACAGGCAGGATTGTATGGAAGATGTGAATCAAGAGGCCTCCTTACCGATAAGAGACGAGAATATTGGCTTTCATATACAAACATCGGGTCCTGAAGAAGGACGAGACCTTTTCAGCGATGACCAATGGCTCTCCCTTCCCTTCGACACTTCCATGGCTCCTTTTGGGTCATTCCTTGGCGACCTGGGCGTCTTGCCCGATCCTATCGACACGGATCTAGATTTTCTATGGAATTTGCCGCCTTGATGACCGACCCATATAGCTTCACATCGTGAATGATATGGTAGCCTAGGGAGCTATTTACTACCTTCACCTGATGCTTACCTTCCACCTGGCGGATTACCAGCCAGTATGCGCGCTATTTTCGAGCTATGCTGGGTCGAACTTTCACTCAGATGGGGAGTGACGATGGCATTCTTCGCCATCAACTGCAGATGATTCTCCGGCAAGGGCTTGGGAGCCATGGACAGCAAATATATTCCGCTTGCTATGAGGGTATGGAACGATACTGTATCTTAAGATAAGGACTAGTCGCAAGTACTCCGAAAGGTGGCATATTACGAAGTACTATTGAAGCAACTTGCTCTATAAGGGCATAAAGTGTAAGCTAAACTATGATCACATCTGGACGGTAATGGATGCGACTGGGTAATACACGCTTTCAATCGACCCCAACAGGCATTTGTGATGCTGCGCTTCGGACTTGTTCATCCTATTCAGGGTTGTGGTACACGACACACCTTCCTTGACATATTTATAAGGCTACCCAGAAACACGAAACGATGATGAATTACATCGCCCTGCCTAATGTAGAAAGAAATCACAGACTTGCCCTTCCCCTTCCACCCAAGGCCTTAATAACCTCCGCTGCCCCAATCTCACCCGAACACAGCGCACCCTCCATATACCCCCTCCACTCATTGCTATACTCAGTTCCAACAAAATGCAAATTACCCACAGGCTTGCCATAAACATCCGCGAACCGCGTCATATGGCCCAGTGCGGTGATCGGCGCCAGCGCCCCACGACTATACCTCTCATGCTGCCAAACCTGGTCAAAGACCTCAATGGGCTTGTACACCTCGTGATCGTTGTTGTCACCGGCGTTAAATACCTTAGCCAACTGCTTAATGACCGCCGCTCTTCGCTCATGAGGGATGAGCTTGCCCCACTTCCTACCCTCGTTTCCATTGACAAAGCAGGTCAGAGAGTAATGACGGACTTCATCAACGGAGGTGTCCCTAGCCAGAATTACCGGACCGCTGTACGAGGCGAAGTAGCCGTTGAATCCGCTATCGCGCCACCAGGGTCGATCGTAGCAGACAATGGCTTTGTTGTAATCGCCCAGCACGGTGGCGTTGGTGACTTCCTGCACTCGGGGCGGGAGAGGAGGTTGGATGTTGAGCTCTTTGTACATGGTGCTAGGGATGGAGAGGATGCATTTGCGCGCTGCAAAGGATTTGCCAGTTGTTGTTTTTACTATTGTGTGGGTGGATAGATCCTCGATTGTGGCGATCGGGGACGACAGGTGGATGTTGGAGGGGCCGACGAGGGATGCAAGGGCGTTTGCAAGGGATTGAGAGCCTAGATAGTGTTAGTATGTGAGTACTTCGTTGTCCTGTTCGAACTGGATTGCAAGGGACAAGTTAGGTTTATTCACCATCCCTGAACCGCAGATGCTGCCCGCCGCTCGAGTCATCCGCACGGATAGCCAGAAGACCGTGGTTACAGCGGCAGTAATCGATGAACCAAGCAGCGGAGTATTCGGATGATTCCAAACCATGCATAACCCGCGCCCAAAGATTTACCATTTTGATTGTCTTTGGTCCCGCTCCGAGACCACGAATGTATTGCTCGAGGGTGACATTGTCATCATCAGCCCGAGGAGGGCCAGGTTTCAGCGACTCGGCTTGGATGTGGTCGCGAATCTTTGCCAGATTCTCCTTTTCTTCTGTTGTCCACTATAGCCGATAACGATAGAGAATATATCAGTTATTAATTGTCTTCTTGGGGTATGTCACTTCCTTGGACTGATCCAGAGGCACACTAACATCAGATGGAGTGACCCCGAACGGAAACTCGAACCTCTCGTTCGCAGCTTCCTGCATAATCGCCCTTCCTTCCAGTCGCTGCTCTACAGTCTTCAGACCAAACTTCTTTATGTATGCGCCTACCCGCTTTTGCAGGTTGACGTTGATCCAAGCACCACCCAAGTCAGCGTACCCTCGACCAGAGGCAAGCGGGACACTCCAGATCTTCCCGCCAATGCGGTCGCGTGCTTCCAGGACGACGACTGAAAGGCCAGCTTGTTGAGCTGTAATAGCAGCTTGCAGGCCAGAGAAACCGGCGCCTACGACGATGAGGTCGAACATGGTAGCGATGATAGAGAGGCAAACGGGAAGGAATGAATATCCTGAGGGGACTTTCAGGAGATACGAGGATAGAATTGACAAATCATGTGTATTGTCTGGCAACTACAACTCAAGTTTTTAGGATCTTGAGCTTCCTTTAAGGCTCTATGGTGGTGGTTCAATGGGAGACGATACCACTGTCTCTTGTCTCGGAACCCACACTCATCTCGGGTGTCTCGATCCGACCCGAGCCGAGGGCCCAGCTTGCCAGCTTGTCACGCGTCACTGTACATACCTCCACGACGCAGCGGTGAGAGGTAAGACATAGTCTGGTATGTGCACTAAGCTCCTCGTAAATTGTCTGAGGTCTTAGGCACCTCCCGGGCGACAACTAGTGGGGTCCTATCGTGGTTATCTATTCACAAGGTGGAATCCTCCCTAGCCCTACGGCTGCGATAGATGTAGAGTACACGGTCGCACATCAATGCGCCCGGTTACGATCGATAGATAAGATAAGACGGGGGCTTCGATATCCTGTCAGAGCCCTCGTATCTTGTCTGGATGCTAATGAACCAGAACCCAACTTGGTTCTCTCCACGATTCTGAACTTAATTCAATCAGGGGTGTCTTAACCGAAACAAGCAACGCTTTCCCCGCGATTTCTGACCAGTGCGGGGTTAAGCACAGCTCAGCGAACGAGTTCTCGAGTTGGCGCCAGCTGACGATAGCCCATAATCATCAAGGCTTACCCCTCGATCTCAGCACCTTCCAGATGTCTGAATCGTATGATCCAGTCCTTCAGTCGCGCTTGAGTCTCTTCAGAAGATGGCAGATGTCCGGAATACGTCACGGAAGCTAAAGCGGACGTCAAACGCGTAAGGCTCGCCCTCTTGCTCCCTGCCAGTTCGCCGGAATTACCTTGACTCAGATACTGTTCGTCCTTATCGCTAAACCTGAAACCACAAAAATACAGATGTATCGCGTGTCGTACCAGCAAAATTAAATGCACCGGTGAAGAGCCATGCGCCAACTGTCAGCGCAGGCGTGTCGAGTGTCGTTTTGTAGAAGGTGTGAATAAAGTCATTGTTACTGAGAGGTTCGTAGGTTATCCAATGTTAGAACATGCGACATATAAAACTGACAATCGGGCCGTGAGGATGGATAGATATCTCCGAGAACTGCAAAATAGAGCTCGCAAACGCCAAGGGCAGGATACGGAGATCCAGCCGGACCGACAGTCGATTAAGCGGACCTCAGCATCGGCATTCGGATCGGATGCAGATATTGATGGTACGATGCCAAACGAGGTCTTATATGTTAATGCACTTTCAATCCTACTTGGCTAACCTTTACAAACTCCAAAGCATCTCCGTCTGCAGATAATCTGACACAGCTGTTCACAGCAAGGACGATATGGACTAGCCCATTCACGCTCCCATCGCGAGTGATAAAGAAGAACGATAGCACCAAGCGAAACTGGAGTACGTCTGTCGTCGCCAATACTGATCCCTTCTTGGACCTAGCTAACACAGTGAAAATACTAGCTTGGCTTGCCCCTACCTCAACTTGGTCGTTCACAGCGCGGTTGAAACTCATGATTGCAGAGAAGCTCCAGATTGTATCGCACTGCAGCGGACCAGATCTATTCGACGGTGACCTCTACCCAATTCACTGGAACCCCCTTCCGGTGAATGAGCACCCTAATGTCAGCAACCTTCCTTCAATGGACTACGCACTCTACCTGTTTAATACCGTCAAATTCCATCTGGGACATAACTTCCGTCTACTCGATGAAGCCAACTTTTTACACCACATCAAGGAGTTCTACCATGGAGACGCAGCAAAGGAAGCAGGCAAGAATCGGCTATGGTTCGTTCAGTTTCTACTAGTTCTTGCATTTGGGAACGCATTCTTGTTGCCAGTGGGCTATCGTTCAAGTAGCGACAATAAAGAGCCACCCGGGGCTAAGTTCTTCGTGAGGGCTATGAGTCTCATGCCCGATCCGACAACGTTATCCCGCAGCGGATTTGTGGCTATTGAAGTGCTCGCATTGACAGGGTTGTATCTTTATTGTATCGATCACCGGTCTTCAGCATACTCTTATGTGAGTCTACCCGAACATATAGTATTGATCTCCTCTATTCTCATGCTAATAGGGCTAATCGCTTTTCATCAGGTAGGACACGCCATCCGCATTGCACAGATGGACGGTATGCATACTCAACTGCCAGAAGATGAGCTTGGAGCAGAAACTGTCGCCCGATCGAGGGATCTTTGGTGGACGCTACACGTTTTGGACCGTCACATATCGTCGTCAGTTGGTGCGTCCATGACACTTCAGGATAGCGATATCACCACCCTGCTTGATCCACCCGGAACAACAACGCAGAGCAATGCCACGCTTGGCCTTCTGGTGAGACTGTCGCATCTTCTATCATATATTCTGTCAAGTATGATAAGCCACTCCCAGAAGAAAGGCCGAATAAGACTGAGTCGGCTGACGCCTGAAAGCTATATACAAATGTAGTCAGACTCAGCTGGGGACGTTCCTCGAAACCACACGATCAATCTTACAAGTCCTTGCGAGTCAAGCCCAAGACATCGAGAATATCATGGAAGTGAAATTCCAGAACTCAGTGGATGCCATGTCGAAGGGAACAAGACACGTTACACTGCTATATCACCAGGTTTATTTCCCTACGTAACCCTCGAGAGAGTACATTGCACTGATAAGATCCGAATTACAGTGCGTAATAGTAGCTACGCGCCCACTGTTGCTATCGGTGCTTAAAGAGCGATTAGACCGACTCGGTCACGGACCGGAAGACTGGCAGAGCATTGTGGCCCCGACCGATGGTCTGATCTCGGCAGGCATCAAGTCGGCAATCAAAACGCTGCAGATACTGAAGGACGAAGACAATCTACTCGGTGGGTTCAGGCTCTTCTAAAGCAGTTCACGCAGACCATGAAGTCCAATTGATCTAACGCACTAGACCTAGATGTCTTCCTCCCCTTTGACATGGAGTTCACCTACGGAGCAGCAATGCACATCGCCATGGCCAAAGCTGTCTTTCCCAACGTCACCGAAGGCGAAAATGAAAACTGCATGAATGATATTCACTCGATCCTCGACCAAATGATCCAGCGTGGAAACAAGCTCGCAGCAGCGCGAAAGTCCGAACTTGTACAGCTTGAAAAGCTCTTCCAGGAAGTCGCAGAGCGCATCGAACGGCGGGGACTTGAGACACTCACCCTGCCCACATCTTTAGCGCCGGTGCCACCGCCCTCCGAGCTGGGCTCCGAATTCATGATGGCAGGACGTGTCGAACGTCCTCAAGACTCGGCAGATCTGGCAGCTTGTTCAGTGCCTTTGAACTCGGTACCAGGGTCCCCATCTGTTCTGGCTCAAGCTTCTAGCCTCGGCTTTCTAGATAGTATTGGGATTTCCTCGTACGAGTTCTTCTCGCTGGTAAACCAGATTGGGCAGACGGAGGGGTGTAGTGTTCTAGATGCAAGTGCACCACCATGGGATGGATCCATGTAGGTCGCCACGATGAGAAACTGCCAGAAAGACTTTGCCATGATTCTTGAACCGAATTCGCGACTATTTGTGAACATATACCCCCATAAGTTCATCTAGATCTCTCGTGGCCGAGCCGATTTACGCATACAGTGCTTTCTCTAGTGCCAGTGTATGTCTCTGCATGGATTTCAATACCGATGGTAGTAGACCTTCAGACAATAATGTCCAACTCAGTCCGACAGTTGTAGTTGCAAATATATAAATAGAAGCAACAATCAACCCGCAAAATCCAATTGGACAATTTCACCTATGGAATCCCTCGCGTTCGCGACTCCACCGATCGGCTTCCCCATCCGACGGGCCCGCAGCAACCGAGATAACCAACTACAGTTGCCTCCCCACCATCACTGCCAGCGACAGTGATAAAAGTTTCGCCGAATCATTCTTCGACCCTCCGTCCACGGATAACCATGACAACTTAGGACTTTCTACAGCACAGTTGTCACATTGCCGGTCTGTATACATCAACTTTTCATTTGTGTATATTGGAGGAAGAGCTGCAGGTGGGTCTAGCAGCCGCGTCGGGTTACAAACCCGAGACTCGACATCGGTTTCTAGATACTACCGACGAACCCGAGCTGTGACAACCACCACCCGAGACATCTGACTCATCATTGGTTGTTTAGAGTTAGACCCGGGGTATCTCGCATAAACCACATCCACACTTCCAATAAATGTTTACGAGGTCTATCAGGGGAAGCGGGGAGGCAGATGTGTCAGGTCACAAGCTGTGATGAGGATTGAGGCGATGTTATGTAGGTCTGTGGTTAGAGCCTGGTGGGGTATCAAATAATAATGCTGCTTGGTGAACAGTCGCTTCCTTTCTGCTTATGTCAAATAAGCTCCCATTGTTGGAATTCATATTAAGAACGGCAGAGAACTTGGATGGAGTAGCATTAAAAGAAGTGATAACGCTGGTTATCAATCTACTTTACTGGGATAGAAGCTGTCAGACCGAAAGAAGGCTTACAAGATTCAACAGGCACTACCTGAAAAGATAAACGAAGTATGGTTATGTTCACTCGCTGCACATCTTCCTGTTTGGTGCCAACTTGGCCAAGTAGCTACCAGATTGAACCTAATTCAATAATGACCTTGAGGCCCATTGGCCACTGTAGATATTGTTAGTATGATGTTTGTCAGTCATTGCGGACAACTGGCCCCTTCCAGGGGAGATTAATATTCACATTTACCTATTCGCACTAAGGCCCACTAGAACTTCTCTAATTACACCGAGAGCTAATGATTCAGAGATTATAATGATAGGGACAAGCTTCTCAGGTACAGCTAGCGTTTATGTACAGTATACCATGTTCGGTGCTGGGGTTCCCGATGAGGATCGTTATTGTGGGGCTCCGGGTGCCTTTTTTAGAGGGTGTCTTGACTAGTAACGAGTAATTATCATGGTGACAAGGGATCAATGCTTGCAATTGACTGGTAATAGGCCACCTTATGTATATCCAGAAATATAAATATGTGGCAGCTGATACTCGTTGTGTCTGATCAAGATTGAGGGAATGTGTCTATGCTGGAGCGGGTGGTATCTACAGAATGCGCTAGGTCTCAACTCCCGAAGATATATACGGATCAATATAGTGGAATGACAGACTAATGGGTTAATGCTTGCACTGTTTGCAATTGGAAATGCTACGACGGTCTACACTCCTTGATGGCCCTCGTGTCGGGAGAACAACGCGGTATCTCGGCCCGCTACCGATTAAGCTTGTACCGCTGGTCCTATCTTTCCGTGATCTTGATCTTGGTTGTCAATCCTCGTACCACTAGATAGCTATCGAACTTTACTGGCGGCAACTGCGGTACGCCCGCTATTTCCTTCGCGCATCGGCGTCGTGCGTCCCTATCAATCTATGGTGCGCTATTCCACTAGCATGGATCATGAGAACAGAAGACGTAGGGAGGGCTTTGAAGATGATAGGCAAGGCAGCTGCGAGACTTGCCTCTATTATCTCGTCATGATCTGTGGCTTCTTGTGGTTCTTTTCTCCATTTGGAAAATCTATCCTGTATAGAAATCCATTGGCCAAACCAGTCCGGCTCATGAGTCTAGATCCGAGCCGATTTTGGGAGGGATAATCAGCTGGATACCGGTTTGCTGTTCCGATTGATCAGTCGGCATTATCGGGATGCAAGACGTGCAGGTCCTTGAACATAGAATCATGATTGCTTCCCGACAGCATTAATGAGATGCCGGTAATAGTACACAGGGAGTGTACGTTCATTGGCTATCTGGAGATGCTATCTCCTATCTGGCGCTAAAGCAGATGCATGTTATGCTTCCCATGACGGCTCGGGTCCTAAGCACTCCGCTCAGCATACCCCGGACTTGGCATATCAAGACTTCATTTGATCTATAAGTATCCAGATGAGATCGCGGTTAGAGACAATTTCTATAACTCAACAGAATCAATCGCACTTGAATCAACACTGCCATTCATCGCCCAACTCTCTCTACACATATTGGGATCATATCTATCCACAACCTACACAATGGCCCCAGCAGCCCTCGTCTCAACCTACACCCCACCCCCGGTTTCCGGGCCCAAGACCAAGAAGGCCACACGCCCCACCAAGAGGCTCCCTCAGTCCCTCATTGAAGGCGCTAAGGTCCCCCAGAAGCGCACCTTCGACCCAAGCGAGCACTTGGTCTACCAGCCCCCGGAGAAGATCCACAAGATGGCCGACTTCGGCCTCGAGAAAGCGGGCATTTCTCCTAACGCTATCTCAGAGCCTTTCCGTCTGTTCACGGCCGAAGCAATCAGCCAAATGCGCGCTGAGATCTTCAGCGAGCCTGTGCTGAAAGATTGTCAGTATGCAAGCGATTTCTGCGCAAGCATGGTTAGGGGCATGGGACACAAGTAAGCTTACACCTTTCAGAACAACCTAGCCCCATCCCATTAGACTAATGGTCATAACTAGGCGAGCCCCCTTCACCTACGACGTATGGAAATCTCCTGAACTCCTGTCCAAAATCTCCGCTATCGCCGGTATCGACCTAATCCCGGCCTTTGACTATGAAATCGCAAACATCAACGTCGCCATCAAGGACGACGAACCACCTTCATCTCAAGCCAGCAACTCCTCCACCAAACCCCCCGGGGATGACGATGCCCCGGCATTTGCCTGGCACTACGACTCCTTCCCCTTCGTCTGTGTAGTCATGCTTTCCGACTGCACCTCCATGGTGGGCGGCGAAACAGCTATCAAGCTCCCCAACGGCACCATCAAGAAGGTCCGTGGTCCCGCACAGGGCTACGCGGTTGTCATGCAGGGTCGGTATCTCGAGCACCAGGCTTTGAAGGCCCTTGGCGGCCGGGAGAGAATCACGATGGTGACGCCGTTCCGGCCAAAGGACGCAGAGGTGCGCGATGAGATTTTGCTCACTGGTACTCGGGCAATCAGCAATCTGGAGGAGATGTATCCCCAGTATTTCGAATACCGCATGGAGGTCCTTGAGGAGAGGGTGCGGGCACAGCGCAAGAGGGAGAGGGAAAGGGATCTTACTGGACGGCCGTTTAATGTGGAGGAGACAAGGAAGTGGGTTGAGGAGCAGAGAGACTTTTTGGATAGTATTCTGAACGAGATGATTGTTGTTGAGTAGGGGATAGGTTATAGTGAGTTTTTTCACATTGATTATGAGCGAAGCGTTTGATGCCGGGGCTAGAATGCATGGGGGAAGATGTCCATCTATGGCACTCTATTTGGCCCTATGACATCTATGAGAATATGATGTTATTTGTTCTAATTAAGATCAATATATCTATGACATCTGTGATCGTAGCGCCTCAGGGGTAGATAAGTCACCCTTGGGTCTTACGCCTTTAGCATATCCTCCAACACCTCGGCAGGGGTCCGTCTCGGAGGAGCAATGGCCAGAACCTCCTTGCTAGTAGTCGAAGCATTGCACTTCCCTTCCCACACGGTCAAAGGGGCATACTTGATTGACTTGATTACAGTCATTGACTGACCCGATCCTTCATATTGACTCTCCAGCATTGCATCCAAAAGACTGAGATCTTCATAGGTCACCTCCTCCACTTTTGTGCCAATATGCTGCTCCACTAAGCCGACAAGCTGTTCGCCAGTGATATCTTCCGGTCCATTCAGGACATATCTCTGCCCGTTGTGTGGGCTCGGATCATCCAAGGCCAAGAGATGAGCAGCAAACACACCGACTTCATCCGGGTCGATAGGCGCAAAAGGGGCATCTTTGGATATCATCAAACTCAAAGGACCTAGTTCGCCATTCCGCTTAAACCCCTTGATGTACTCAACGATAGAAGGCATAAGGTAGTTTGTAAACCCGTTCGGCTGAAGAGAAGTCCATTTCAGCGCGCTAAATTCCGCCGAACCAAGCATCGCCTCAATAGCCCAGTGCGCACGCGGATAGTAGGCAGCGCAATCGGGACGAACATTCGGTGCGGAGGTGGAAATACGCACAACGTATTCGACACCAGCGCCAAGGGCGGCGACGTGGAAGGCAGACTCTTCGGCAAACTGGTTTGGTGCGTTGTGAGAGGCGATGAAGGCCCTGACGACTTCATTTTCTCGGAGCCAGTCCGAGGTAATCTCCGTCCAGTTCTTCTCGATGACTTCGACACCGGGGATTTTTGCAAGCTGCTGGGCCGAGGAGCTGTTGAGGGATCTGGTCTGGGCGAGTACTCGATGGCTCTTGAAAGCCTCGTTGGCTTTCAGAAGTTTTGGGAGAGTTTCTGTCACGGCTCGGCCGGTATTTCCTGTTGCGCCGACGATGAGGATAGTTGGAGCCATGATGGTAGTTAAGTGAGAGTTGTGTGGATGGATAATATTGTTTGAAAGATAGATACGAGGATCATGTTCAAGGTATTTGTATTTCGAATTCATTGCATTATATCATACCTGATTACTATTACTATTAGAAATTGGGAAGTTTATTTGTGAGCATCCCTTCGAAGTGATCTTTAAATCGGGTGGAGGCTCCGGAGGTGGGAGGGCCGAAATGTCGGAGCTCCTACCCCGTGCATGTGTACCAGACTCAAGGGCTAGTACTTCGGAATTAATCATCTCTCCTCTCTTTGGCCACTAGGCATGAATTAGAGTGCATAAGAGTGGATAACATCCAACAGTACCAGAAGCTGCTGTGAGTCCTGTGCCTACTTGTAGCCGGAAGGGGCTCGAACTTTCCCTTCTCACAAACCTAGACTGACATTAGTCGTTTCAAAATACACTATTGATGTGTTACAATTATGATTCCAAAGGGATGGGCTTCATATCCTCGTATTAATAACGTAGTAGGAACGGATAAATGAACCTGTGGCAGCCTGGAAAAGACGTATACGACTTTAGTATCTGTGGTCCCCGAGCGTTTACTATCTCTCAAAATAAAATATTTGCGACCGGCGCAACGCAACTGGCAGCGGACTCAGAAAGCACGCATTGAGTCAGTACTAACTCAATAAGACTCACTGAGTGGTTCTTTCCGGGGAAAATCCAGGGTTCGACGAATCGGTTCTGAGTAGTTAACCTTTTCGGACACACTGACTAATCGTGCCATTATGGGTGGGCCCGAAAGAGAAGAAGCCGTCCCCTCAACTTCGTCGTTGTACACCCTTTACTCTCTGAAGCCTCCATTCAAAACAGCACCATGCCTCCTAAGTTATACTGGTGCCAAGTGCCTCATTGCAAGGCAAGCTATCAGCGAAAAGAACACCTTCGTCGCCACGAGGCGCAACATACCCAACAACACCTTCGACAATGTCCAGCTTGTACCCAGGAGTTCAAGCGGAGGTACAAAAGGACCCTCACCTTTTCGATATTCATGTGGGGAGATTATGCTAATTTTACAATTTAGCGATACGTTACGGCGACACATGCAAAACATACATGGAATGAACGAAATGCCCGACATCAAACATGCTTGCGCCCACTGCCGGAAGCAAAAGTCTCGATGCCAAGGAGGACCACCATGTAAGAATTGCTTGCGCCGCGGAATCCACTGTTCCCTTGAACGGCGGGTGGGAGCACAGCAGGTTGATCACCGACGTGACATTGCAAGGATGTCCGAATTACCTCCTATCCAACCTGCAAAACACGACTCTGATCAGGAAAAACACTTTATTAGCATATATTTCAACACATTTCATCCTCGGTGGCCTTTTGTTCATCGAGGGTCTTTCAATGATCATGAAGCACCATTATTGATCAAGTCAATGCTTGTTATTGGCCTGTGGTTGAGCAAGGAACGGAAAGCCCGATCGAAAGCCATTGACCTGCACAATGTCCTGGGCTCAGCCATACGTCAGCAGACTGTACGTAGGAAGCTCTCACCTGATCATAACTCTGCCAGCTAACGTCCAAGTCAACAGGGGGCATGGGATGCCTCTATAGCAGATGCAAGTAGTACTTGTAAATGGCCCATCGCGACATATCAGGCAATCCTGCTCCATCTAATTTTCGCCGCTTTATATCGGGGCGGTGGGGAGCTAGACCTTGACCTGAAGCCTTCCCTTGCACCTGCAGATGCCGAACTACTGGAAAGACTTATCATAAGCTGCAAGAAGCTTGGAATGCTCTACTACCCAAATATACTGCAGCATTATTGCGACAGTATTCTGCCGGGATATACATGGGTAAGTGTTGAGGAGGTAAAGAGGTTCGATCTGGCTTTATTCAAAGTCTGTGGAGCTTTTGGTATCTCAGGCAAAGAAGAGCATAGAACGGGTAACTTTGACGGGAGGATCCGTGCATGCGACTTACAATTTCCACCACCCAGGAATACGCCGTTGTGGAATGCTGTAACGAAAGAAGAGTGGGAATCCGCAGCGACAGCGGATATGGACCGCCATAGCCTGGATGACCCTTTGCCTCTACAATGGATCTCTAATTCTGCAGAGATTGTGGAACTTATTGCTACTGGGTCTCCTGCATTACTTTAATTACTGAGTTTAAAATTATGGATCGTCGCACAACCAAAGGGCCGAGATGATAGAGTATGACCTTCAGACCTGGTAAATGGTTATATGTAAAATGTTCTTCACTTAGACTATATCCTGTAAGTTTACCCAAGAAAACTTAACGGTCGCAATCTATCTGCTCCAACAATATCTTGTCCCCTCTGCTGAATAGATTGATAAAGACACTTAAACTTGCTTCCGGTGATTTAAAGTGGAACATGATGGGTGGTCCATGTGTACCGCATCTAAGAGAGCACACTACTTGAAGAAATTCAGAGACTAATTCCAACGGGCCTCCATATCGGGTGTCAATGACTATTATTAATGTCCTAGAGGGAGTCATACTCACAATGATGAAATACTAATGATATTGCTTCTTTGATAAAACAAAACGAAAAGACAATCAAGTCCTAGTCATCCCACAACCGTCCGTATCTCCAAAGCCAAAACTCTTCTGTCAAAGTGCGCCATCGCCAACTCTGATTGTATCCTTCCAAAATCTAACCCGAGTTCCGGCTGTCCATCTCACCCAAGTAGTATGACCGGTCCACCATCAGTCCAGCTGGGTGGTATTGAACAAGCGATTTCCCGTGTCGGTAGTTCCCTTTCCAGTGTACTTGTTCTTCGACACCCGGAGAGCGACAATGGTAACCTCCATTGATCGTGCGACAGCACGAATGGCACTCCCGCCTTTGATGGCCTGGTCCTGCGCGACGCCAGCAACAACAATGACACGAACAGCATCATTAATCTGTTTGATATGTTGCAAGAACTCCACGATGGACTTGCCACTGTTGATAACAGAGTCGACCAGGATCACAGTGACGATGCCCTCGAGATTCTCCCTCTTCACGTCGTGGGGGAACTTGGCGTGGAGGAGCTGGGCAGTTGGGAAGACCTCGTTAACACCGTTTGCCATGGGCAGCCCACCGCGCATCAGCGGCACGATCAACGTCTGGCCTTCGTTGAAAAGCCGGTATCCGTCTATGGGTTTGTTTTGAGGGTGGCGTACGGGGAAGGGCTCAAGTCCGATGATCTGTGCCAGATATTTTGTGGACAGATAATGAGCAGCCTTCCTATGAGCATCCTGGAGGGCCGGCCCGCGGATGGCGTCGTCTCTCATAGGAGTACTCAGCAACTTGGAAGCGTTATCGTCGGTCGCGTGGTAGAATTGAAACCAGCGGCAGAAGATCGAGCTCTGGATGTTTTCGTCTTCCAAATGGATCACAGGGAGTATGTTCGGGTCAAGCCGTGGTTTCAGAGAATTGTAGGGCAGCAAGACCTGCCTAGCCTGCAGCCCGTCATTGAGGATGGCATCACGTAAGGCGCCATCCATGCTCTTGCTTCGGGTTTGTTCTTTACCCACCACAACAACCGCCTTGTCTGCAGCCATCATCATCGGCAAGTCAATAGGGCTGTCCCCGATCGCCCAGGTATGGGCTCCATGTACTTCTCTAGCACGAACAACTAAACTTCTCTTCACCCCAGGGGTAACCACCAATCCGTCGTTGATGCGGCCACCACCGATGACTTTAACAACATCAGCGAGACCTTCTCTCTCAATGACTTTCTCCCAGACGAGACGCAGGCCGCTGGTGACGATAACGGGACAAACGTGTTTGTGTTCGACCACCTTTTCAAGAAGCAAGGAAATCTGTGGATACAGCTTGACTTTACTTGCAATAGCGTCGCAGATAGAAGAGAAGTCATCATCCCAGGCCTCGGTTTCACAGTACATCATAGCCTGTCTGGACGCGGCATATTAATACCCCATCTTGTTGAAGAGCCGTCGTAGCGGATTATGGGCGCCCTTAAGATCTTCCAACATCTTCCAGAAGGTTTCGCTGGTGTCGTCTTCCGAGAGCGTCTTGTCCGCATCAAGAAACAGGACAGTCTGAACGTCGTCGCTATGGTTGGACAGGATCTTGTCCAAACGATCGTTGGCAACAGCCATGTTATATTCCTCATCGTGACATTCAATGTCATGAATGAAGGTCGACAGCTTACATCTCAAACCGGACCAAAGATAAGCCAACATAATGTTTTTATCCATGCAAAGAGAAGAAAGCTCTTTTATCTCGTAATTCTGCCACGCACACAAACGACTCTCCGACACAATTGGACGTAGTCTCTCGGTATCCTTCTTTCGTTGCTCTGTAATCATAAGCAGCGGAGTATTGAGGTACAAAATGTGAGTGAAGGTATCCAAGTCATCCTCAGTGACGACCTTCATGGGGTGGTCACATCTTTCGTCGTCCCAAAAGCTGAGGTGGCCTGTAACAATCCCAACTTTCCTGGCCTTGCTGCAAGTTGATTTGATCTTCTGGACAGCCCGCTTGCGATACTCGGCTTTTTCAGACTCATCGAGCTTCTTGAATGCATCCAGCCCGCCGGTAGTTACAGAGGCAATGACTTCAGATCCTTCAAAAAAAGCAAAGCGCTCCTCCCCGAGCTGCTCTTTTAGTCTGTTCATTAAAAAGGTCTTGCCAGCCCCCGGCACCCCGTATAGTCCGATGACCTTGGGGGCGGTCGCTGGGGGACACACGGGTACCATGGTAGGGCACTTCTCGTCTTCCGGTGAGGCGGACATTTGCATTGTCCAATGAGATATAGTAGAAGAGGCTAAAGTTGAAGGGAAGTAGAGACGAAGGGGAGTATGTTCGGATCTGGATAAAGGGCTATAAATAAGTAGAAGTGTATGGTGTACCAATGACCTTTGACAATAAAATATCGCGTTTCTGGTCATGAGAGGTACCAGTCGAGAGAAAAGAATAAATCGGGGGTGTTGGGGGATTTTATAGGCAAGGAAAATCGTCGGTGCCTAGGTTCACTCGACGACAAATACCTTTTCACTAACAGTCTCGGCGCTCTAAATCTCTGACTCGTTGAATATAGGGACTCCGGGTCATTCCAGGAAGGTGCAGTTAACCGTTGCCTTCTCATTATTGAATTGTGAATGGAGTGACCAGCGTTTTGAATACGGTACCTCCCACAGTCAAACCAATCGACTTCTATAATTTCTTTTAGCAAAGGTAATGCTCTTATGCCGAAGTTTTGTATATAGAGGACCACATATTGGGTCCGGAACCCTTTTTGCTGCATATCATGGAGCACCTCTATACAGTATCCTGAGATATATTGACTTCATCTGAGGGCCGCATCACAAGAAACGAGCAGATATAATGCTCCAATGCTGTTTTTCTGTATATAGAGGGACACACATGGGGTCCAAAAGCATTTTCCGAGCGCAAGAATGGGCGTTCTTATTTATCAAAATATACTTGCAATTCCTCTGGCAGTAGCACCACAAGTAACGAGTAGAACAAAGTCTATCATCGCATGAAAAGGATACAAATAGTCAGCCCTGATGAATATTCTTTGTCATTTCTATCTCGCGTCAACCTTCTGGGTCAAATCATGAACCTTCAAGCAGCAGCTAAATACCTCAGTCAGTATGGATCACGTAGATTCGCCACAGGAAGAGTATATCACTCACCACACTACCCCACTCCGACCCAAACATAGATCAGGGAAGAACTGGCAATGCCCACAATAATCTTCTTCCAACCCTACCGAATTTCATCTTATCTATGCCATGTCTGTCTGCAACTTCATCCAATTTCGTCCCCTTCCTCGGATTCACCACCTCTCTAACGCCCCTCCAGTCGTGCTTTCCGGCGAAATACGCAGCCACGCGATAGAAATACCATCGCGATGTAAACTTGCCCAGCATATAGATAATGGCTAATGCGTTATACGTCCGCGACCAAGCAGGGCGAAAAGGGATAGGAAATCCATCATGTTCGGCGCGAGATATTGTGAATAGGACGTCCGAGGTCTCGCTTAGTCGGGCCAGGGGTGTAGTTGCCTTGCGCCGCTCGGAAAGCTCTTCGATGAGACGACTTTTGTGCCAGGTAATGTTGGATTGGCGGGGGAGGTTAAGGAATGTATGCCATTTTTGGCGTAACTTGCTTGACATTCTGGTCTTGTTGCAGTTGTGCTTCTCATGAAAAAAAGTCGATGAGAGATGGGTAGCGGACTGATGTTTGGAAGAAAAAGAGTGTCTTTGGTATGGAGTGCTATGGCTTATAATACCTGGATAATGTAGGAAGGAAAGACTGGTTTGATTGTGTCTGGGATCTTTTTAACAAGACAGTGCGAAGATGATGCTCTTATGTACGAACCAGGGCGTACCGGATTGACTGATCTTTTCAGAACCTTCCCTATCTAGTGCAGGCAAGCTCCGTGAACATTGCCCACAGTGATTTAATTACATAGTGAATGTGCACTCAATGATACCTTCGATATTATGCACTACTAGTATTCATTGGCTCCTCCTTTGCTGCTTGTTTCACTGGATGCGGGGTTGAGCATTCCCCAACCCCACCTCAGTTCACCCCATTTCACTTCATCAGTCTGTCTTTGTTAAGGCTGTCACTACCAACCCCTTCCTCGACCCCACCATCTGTCTTTCTTTACAAATTCTTATCCAATTTCTTTATACTTCGCTTGTTTGTGAAGGGCTAGCTAGCTATTTTGAGTTGCCTAAAAGGAAACAGTATCCACTCTACACCACACATTGGGAACGGTATGCCTTTAGCGCCCGAAATTCAACAATTCATCCTCGGCTTCAAAGACCGGTGGGACGGATCGGTGAACACTGCTTGTCAGGACTTTTTTGAAGCCCAGCATTTATCCGTTGGCCCACTCAACCCAGATCGTCCAATTAAGTATGAGAAGAATGTGAAGTACGGCCCAGATCCAAGGCATCGCTTGGATGTATTCTGGCCAGCAGATGCTACCTCAAAAAACGCGGCTCTGCCTGTTGTCGTCTACTTTCATGGCGGTGCATTTAAACTGGGCAACAATTCTATTACTCCGCACATGCACGCAAATATCGGTCGATTTTTCGCATCCCAGGGTATGATCGGCGTCTTGGGGACTTATCGGCTACTGCCAGAAGCTCGATTCCCAGACGGACAGGACGATGTTGCCTCTGCTCTCTCGTGGCTGCATGACAATGTGCATCAGTACGGAGGCAACCGAAATGCCATCTTCGCGCTTGGCCAAAGTGCAGGTGGAGGCCACCTCGCCATGGCGCTTTTCTCGGGAAAGCTAAAGTCGGACCAAGGACAGAGTCTAGTGCGCGGCGTCCTGCTTCTCAGCGCGGCGTTGAAGTATGACCTTTCAAAGAATGGTCGACGCGAGAGCATGGAGCAGTATTATGGAACGACGGACCATAGTCTTATTCAATCCCGATCGGCGTACGGTATTTTCCAGGATTTGCCGCCCGTCGAAGATGCGGATGTGGCTTCCGTGCCGACACCCGAGCTGTTTTTGATGCTGGCGGAGTGGGATTTTGAGGAGTGCGTACAAGGAAACTTAGACTTTGCAAGGCTGTATGCTGAGCGTCGCCGTCGTCTTCCTCGGTTTGAGGTGTTGCCTGGTCATAATCATGTTAGCTATGCATTGTCTATCGGCTTGCCAGGAGATAATGTCGGACCGAAGATTGCGGATTGGGTGAGGCAGTGCTCAGAGGGGCCTTGATCATAGAAATACATAGCTTCCGTCTGTCTTCGCTTTTACTTCCTGGGTATTGTGAATCGCCGATGGCCAAGACCTATCCGCATCTAGCCAGTGCATGCGATAAGTGGGGATTTTGAACTTCAAATCTACTATCTCCTCTAATATGTAGGGACATTGTCCGGAATGAGACCGGGCCTAGTATGATTGCTTTTTCCCATTACTACTAACCTTAAGTATTCAGTGCGACCGGGATACCTGGTGACTAGAAGGATAGGTTGACCATCGTTCTGGTGCAGATATCCTGGCTGCCATCTGCCGCTGGCCCTACCTATAGGGTACGCAAGTGGCTTTCTGATATTTTCTTTATTTGCTCAAGCCTCTCGCCCTAGTATTTTGAGGAAGCAAGTGTCTCGGAACCTTTTCCCTGCGGACAATTGCAAAAGCTCATGGGAGACGGTTCAAATTTAGCTGCCTTGCCGATGTTTCGGCGTAGAAGTCTTTGAATAGGTGTCCTGTTACGGAACTAAAACTTTGGAATGAGTCTATGGATTTTGTAGCTTACTTTTCGCTCGAATGCTTTCTTCCCCGTGGCTTTTCTCCCATCTTCATCTTCTTTTCCGAGTGTTTTCACTGGCCGCTTACTCAATAATGACCATCGGGTATTCGCGCTCTATATCGGTGCTGGATTGCTGCATCACCTCTGTTCATTGAGGTTGATGCCGCCTGTAGATTTTTTCACTTTATTCATTTTGATGAATATATATATAGAAAGGGGTGGATAGGTGTCGATTAGATATCAAGGGTTATAGGATAGAATTGACTCGAGTTGATGTGTTGGGTACGAATATACATTACGCTGTTAGTTACTGCGACGAAGGGATGTAGTTCTTGACAGCTACATGGATCAGATTACGTCAAGTTCTTTGAAATTAGGCTTTTTCTTTAAAATACAGGTTGATTCTTCTTTTTCAGTTTTCTCCGATCGCAATTAGAAGATACATCATATAAGGATTTGTCGTCAATGGCAATTAGGTTGGGCTATCCAATAGAATCTCGTCACGTCTATTTGCGTTTTGCTTCTCGGTTTGAAAGAGATTTAGGTATGCCAAATGGCTTTCGGTTTCAGCCCTACATCCCGAGCCAAATGTTATGCTAGATTCGGCCTGGCGTTGTGGAGGTGAACCGCTCAGAACTCAACTCAAAAGATAAACTCCGCGGGACGCTCAGGTGGAGCATTTACGGAAGCTTGTGGGTTTTGGACAGAATATTGACCATTTAGACGTCCGTAGTCAGCTTCAAAGCTATGACATGGAAATCGGATTAAGCATAGATCGCTTGGAACATCGGATTCATCTACACCGGCCCATGGGTGCAGAAGAAGTCTGATATAATTAAGTTATGACATTTCATTGAATAGAAGACAGCATTAGTAGCAGTATGGACGAAAACGTTCTTGACTTCCCAAAGCAACCAATTGGTTGCTGGTCGTGCCAATAGAATGCCGTATTGAGTGTAACATCGAATCCCGGTTATGACACGTCCATTTGGCACCTCCCAGCAATGGTTACGGTCCTACCGAAACTAAAAAGCGTGGGATGGCAGCAAGAAATCGAATATAAAAGCATCCGCTGGTAGAAGATTCCTGCAGCGAAATCAGTCAATTGGCTTCACTTGTGTTGAGCCACGCTGCACCCGGTCACTCCAGCGAGCCCTCGCAGTCCCCGAAGCCTCCTGAGCATCCTGAATAGCGCATAATGGCCTTCTCAGCCCTTGCATGGACGGCAGCACTTGCCCTTCCAGTTGTCTTCGCGCAGGATAGAGAATCCGACCGATCAAAATCCCCGAAGATAGCTCCTCGGATGCAACCCGATTCGCACAACACGACACACTGGCCCACTAGACCTCTTCCTTGGGGCGAGATAAATTTTATTCATACAACTGATACACATGGATGGCTAGAGGGGCATGAGAATGAGGTCAATTACGGTGCAGATTGGGGTGATTTTATTTCCTTTGTGACGCACATGCGTGATAAAGCCGATCAACAAAATGTTGACCTTCTCGTTGTGGACACTGGTACTTCCATCCTTGCTTTCTTGATCCCTTTCTATAGTGTGTTAGTCAACTAACCCAGCGTCTCTAGGCGACATCGTGACTGGCAATGGCCTTAGTGATGTTTCAACTCCTGAAGGCCAGATATCTAATCCAATTTTCCGCTACTTAGACTATGACCTACTTACCATTGGTAACAACGATCTCTATGATCCAGAAGTTACTGAACGGATACAAGTGGATATAGCGGACTACTATACTGAAAGGTATCTCACGAGCAACGTCCTTGTGGAAGAGAATGGCAAAAACACATCCATTGGAGAAAAGTACCGATATATCACTACAAAGCACGGGTTGCGGATCATGGCATTCGGGTTCACTCTTCAGGACTTCAAAGCCCCTAAAACCGTTCATGTCCAGGGATATGAGGAAATAACAGAAGAGGATTGGTTCAAAGAAGCACTCAACCAGCCAGCCGATCTATATCTGCTTATTGGACATGCCGACATTGGCCAGAGCTGCAAGATAGAAACTAAATACCAAGGAGATCAAAATCCCTTAATTTGCATGAAGAACTGGTTCCGGGAAAACAAACCAGAGATCCCTCTTCAGATCTTAGGTGGCCACTCACATGTGCGCAACTTCACATGCTATGACAGTGGATCGTCTGGTCTTGAATCCGGTCGATACTCTGACACTGTGGGATGGCTTGCTCTCAGCGACGTGGCGCCATCAGACACCTGGAACGGATCTAAAACAATGACGGATGTCCCTATGCCTACAAGGACATGCACACCGCACAACCCGACGTCATCTTCTAGCATGGAGAAAACAGTTCGCCTTGACCGTCGCTACCTTGATTTCAACCGCCAAACGTTCGCGTACCATGCTTTAGGGGTAACTGGCCCTGACGTCCCTGCTAGCTTTGATACACCTACCGGACAGTATGTCACAAATGATATCGAGGGCACTCGAAGTCAATACAATTTAACTACAGAACTTGGCTGCGCTCCCCAATCATACTATATCGCGTCAAGTCCTTACAACTGTCCGGATAACATTTATACGTTGGTGAGATCCGCTTTGAATGCAACAGTGCATGGGAACAATTCCGATTCTGCCAGACTGATCATCTTCAACACCTACGGTATACGTTACGATTTATACCAGGGTCCATTCACTGTTGGGGACGCATTCACTGTTAGCTCGTATGCGGACGTTTTTTACTATATTGCAGATGTTCCCTATGATGACATAACAAAGCAACTTCAAAAGAAACTGAACGAGTACAAGGGGACTGATCCAGATTATGAGGAACCGAAAAAAGACTGTGGCAGTAAGGGCGTCAGGTTTTCTACCAGTCGATACGCGGGCGCTTCTCAGCAAAGCGTGCTTACCAGTCATGCAAGTGACCCGCACGACCACAACCCGGGACATGTTACAAAGGATGATTTTGGTGATTGTTCTGCCAGCTCAGAGGACTGCGGTGATGACACCCTGCACATCCCACGCCTGGAAAATGAACCGCATCCGTACTATATGCAAGTCAAGGGCAACATTGATGAGAACGAGACGAGGACAGTGGACGTGGTCTTTACAAGTGACATACAAAAAAAGATTATAGAGTTCCTTGGTCTCACAGACAAAGACCCGGTCGTCAAGCCCTACATGGATGAAACGTTTACCACGAGGGATTTCTTGCAGGTCTATGCCAAGACGGTTTGGAGTGACAAGCCTACCTGCGAGATTGGGCCATGATTAGGTGAGCGGAGGGGAGGATGGGTGGGGTTAGGTGACATGCTACAGCATTGGCTGAATTTGTGGAGTGGATTCACTGGTGACTAGATAAATGTCAATGCGTGTGCCCGCGCTTATCTGTGAGACATCCTTCTGAACTAAGATCTGTCGGGTCGTCCCAATCGTGCTACGTTTGTCAGGCATTGTAGCTCTCCTACAATGGGAGCATCAGACGTTATATAATTGAAAAGTTTTGTTCTGTTAACAGACTGGACAATGGTGCGGGAGGGCAAGAGTGTCGAGGGAATAATCATAGATTCTCTCAACTCCAAGCAATGATGAGTAGACACAGCCGTGCCAACTAGTAGAATGGATGATCACTAACTAGCTCCTAAACCAACCAGCTTATCTGAGGTTTTGAACCGTTGAGAAGGGGAAGCTGTTTCAAAGTAGCATCTGAAACTAGTTTTGGGGGATGCTTTTGTTTTGTGTTGTGCCCAGCTTTCGGTTCGACAGATTCTAGCTCTTTAATCAGGTAGCCTACAAGGAGATGTTCATGAATCCTGCCATCATACAGCCCGGCTGGCTCCCATATTGGCTGGACCGGAGACTGTCCGTCCGCTGTGATGACCCAGAATCGAACTGTCCATCACAACTTCATGCGTAGCAGGCCAAAGGGACATGAAATGTGGCGTGGGGTATATGAATTCCTGCAAAGAGTACTTCGGCCTACAGGCCGTCGATAAGGTAATGCGATACACGAACAGAAGCGAGTATGACGATCCCAATATAGCGGCAAATCTGGATACATATTACGATAATCAAGCCCCAGTCTGGCTGCATGAGCTTTTACATATTTACAGGGTGTCAAAGGCGAATCGATACGGGAAGAAGAATCATGTCGCTGTCATGAGATTCGAGTACAGAAACTCAGATGGAAGCACAACATGTATCAGCGCCTACGGACGCTTACTATGCAAGGCTTTAGGGCTCCCTTCAATTATACCTCGTCTCTGGGTTATTCAGAATGCTGATAGCCCTACAATGTACATGATCGCCAAATAAGTTGAGGATGAAATAGCCGTATCTGCATAAGAGGAGAATTTTTTTGATGCTAGACATACGCCTGGTATTATATCCCAAGGACTATTTCAAATATTACTCGTGTCGCAATGAAAAAAAGGGGGGGAATTCCAGGAATTATCCTCAATTCGATGCCGCTCTGCCAGTGGAACCGAACCCTTCTATCATTGCAACACCGCCAAAAAGCATGACAAGAGTGGGATTCGAACCCACGCCATCTTACGATGATCAGGAAGCTTGGGGAAGCTGGGTTATTAAGGTGGACCTTAACCTGACGCCTTGGACCAACTCGGCCATCTTGCCTAGAGATATCATTCGGCCATTTAATATGCTAGATCAGTTTTTAGACTGTGTGAACTACCCGTGGACGGTTATTCTGGCTCTATCTCAAACCATTTCTTTGACCCCAATAAACACTGGTCTTTGCTAGTCTATACCATTTTACGTGCTAATATCCCTGTCTATACTGTACATTCATATGAATCAAAACTGGGCATCAAAGCAGAGGTCTGAATTAACGACCTGATCCCTCCTAGGGGAGGTTATTTGTCTATAGCGAATGGAACCAAGCACATACGACCACAGGGTGTGGAAAATAGGGCTTCCCGTCCGCTCAGCCGTACTCAAGCCACACGCCGGGAGGTTAGTAGTTGGGTGGGTGACCACCAGCGAATCCCTTCTGTTGTATGTTTTTCTCTTTTTTACTCCGTCATTATGTCAAAGACCTTGAAGCTGTAATCCCCAGGTCTCCCATGGAATGGAGGCCGCAATATTCAAGAACTGGTCTCAGTGGCAACGAATGCACCAAACCCTAATACTAGAACCCGAACCGCAGCGATTCCCCTGACTGCTTCGATTCGCACTGCACAGCTAGCAACGCCGGTAGATACGGAATGGCACCTTGGTCACTGGCTTGTGTTTCCCAAACCGAAACTTGCGGGAGTCAAAATGTGGAGTTGGGGCCCCAAGCTCCACATCGATAGAAGCATCCACAGACTGCCTGGATTGCGGTGATTATAGGCAAATAGCCGCACGCATATCATTGGCAGCCATCTCTTCGGTGGTTGTGGTCGTGATGAATGTCATGCTAGGCTCGGGTTATTGAAAATATATTAGGTGAGAGGGAATCATCTTCTTCGCTTTTCGGAGAAGGATAGTGGACGACAGAAATATACAAGAGAACAGTCCCTAGGTGTTCCTGCGAGGCTGTCTTGCCATCGAAGATAGCAGCAATTATGAGACATTACACAGCCGACTAAGGACTCAGACATTGATAAGCCTCCTCTCAGACGTATATTAGGATCGACACCATGCTTGGGTTAAATAGGGCTGTACCGGAGAATCGATCCCTCTGACAGCCTTGGGAGTGCCCATTCTAAACTCTATGGTTGCTTATTTCATTGCACCTGATATTATATCAGCGTACAATGCACTATGATCTTCTAATGTGGACCGAAATAATGGCCGTTCGTAGGGATGCAATGAAGTAGTATTCAATGTCATTATTAACTTAATATAGAATTAGCATCTAACTTACAGTCAAGTGATCAACTTTTGTCGTTTCTTTATTCTAAGTATTCGTATTTTAGGTATAACGATTGAAGTGTTACATTGATGCAAAGAATGAGTCGTGATTCATCCTACTATTCAACCAAAACCGAACGATCTGTTACGGCATGGAATATTATGCGAGCGGAGTGATCCCCTTAGGGGGTCTCAGAGTAATTATCTGCTCGTCCACTATTCCTTGGATAGCAAGTAATCAATCTCAGTCCTTGTAAATGTCCTTGCCTCGGAGGTTTTCCGATCCTAAAAGTAATGCTCACGAACATCGTAACAGCTAGTTGATTCTGCTCAGGAGCTCGATTTCAACGACCACATGGGTTCCCAATTTAATAAGCGTAATAACGCAGAACCTAAATTTGCTGTATCCTACATGGGGCTGGAAGATACCTCCAAGCAAGGCACTCCGCCAGCTATATACAATATGGTTTATCTTCGGTTACATCACCCCCACAACCTTTACTTCTATACTAGGCAAACCTCAGGCTACCCGACGACACGCCAAACGAACCTGGTCGGCATCCGTCATCCGCAGAAGCAATTGCAAATCCACGTCCTGCGTGGTCGCTAATACTCTCGCGCGCGTCTCCTCCGGGCTTTCTCCAGGGTTGGCAACCGGGTGCACCCGATGACTCCGGAGGAGGGCCGCCATGACAGCCACGAACTCAACCTGCGAAAACTTGTTCCCCGGGCAGTTTTGAGGCCCGTCTGACCATGGGAAATAGGTCGACCGGGATGGGGTGATGATCTCTTCTGAGACATCGCTAGACGCAGCTGATTTGGTTATCCAGCGGGACGGCTTCCATGTCAAGGGGTCCTCCCAATACTGGGGATGGATGTGCATGTCGAGAAGGCTGGGGTGGACTCCCACGTGGGGAGGGATCATGATTTCTCTGTCGCCTAGCTTGAGTAGCTGGGTGTTATCGTTGGTCCATTTGGGCAGGGATACAATTGGTGGGAAGAGGCGGAGGGTCTCGAGCTGTGGCACGGGGGTCAATTGTTAGCGACAAGTGAATTAAAATGACATAAAATAGCATGGAATTATTGGTAGGTAATGTGAGAAAAGAAAAATAGGGGTATACCAAGACAGCGCGACAGCGAAGGAGCCGTGGAAACAATTCATTATAGTGCTCCTTGATATTGTCTTCATCAAGCCCTTCCAGCTCCTCAGCCACCCAGTCTTGGATTTCCGGATACGCGGCAAGCAACAGCAAGCCAAAGCTCAACGTATTGGCAGTTGTATCATGACCCGCAAAGTTGATGACAAAGATGTTTCCAAAAATCTCGTCTACCGTAAGTCCTTTGGGAGGTGAGCCACTTGTATTTGCTTTTTGCTCCCCGTCTACCTTTTGCTTCAGATCCATGGCGCGCACAAATGAAGTCATCAAGCCTCCGCTACCTGCACTTCCGGTGTTCAATGCTTTCGTTTCTTCGTCCAGCATTTGGACCATATACTTCTTGAAAGTGGTGGCCGCTTTGCCAAGATGATGCCATGACTCGGGTGCGAATGGCAGAGTGAGTAATTTCCGAGGCATCACCATGAGAAGGATGCAGTTATCCAGCACGGTCTGAAGTGCATCGCGGTAGCCCTCTGATTCATCTTCCGAGGCGGCAGGTGATTCAGACTTCACCTCATGATCTTTGGCACTTTGAAAAGGGAACGATTTGCGAAATCCTGTTGCGGCAAGGACATTTAACGAGAGGGTCCGCGGATCTTTTGCAACACTGGGAATGTGGCCATCGACAGAAGACTCCCAGACCTGCAGCATCTGGCGTGTTTGCTCTACACTTTCATCCCAGACAAAGGACATGGCGTTTTCGTTAAACGGCGTGGCTAGGACCTTTCGGTGCCGCGGCCAGTCATTCCAGCTAGCTGTTGAGATGCATGGCCCGTACACTTCAAGTACCTCTGAAAGTAAAACCCAGGTTAGCAATTCGGTATGCAATTTCGCTATCATGACAGAGTACTTTAGACGTACTATACAATTGATTTGGTCGAATGAAGTCCGTACGCCGTTGGAAGATGTCATGAATTGCATCCGGATCGGCGATGTTGATGTAGATATCGCGAGGAGTAACCAGAGCCCACATGGGACCATAGCGTTGATGGGACTCGCCGCGATCGGCAAAGTACCAGCCCCGACGGGAATAGCGACCGAAGCTGTAATTGCGCCAATTGATGGGAAGTTTGTACAGCCAAGGCCAGAGGATTGGTTCAAAAACCATCCAGAGAACATTCAGGGGATCGATGTAAAGGCGCACCAAGGGGATTCCCATGCTTGAAGCACGACGGTAGTTGATCTCCAGTGTCACCATGCTCCACGCCAGGTAGGCGAGTGCGAGCAAGCCCAGCCCTTCGAAAATCATCGTGATGG